TTTTTCGAGTAATTATCATTTAAAGTCTGAGCCAGTAAAGAATTACAGGTGAATCGGCACGTGTGGATATAAATAACATTACACCTTCTACCTAAACCTCCCCCTCCATTCTACCTTTAAATAGTAAATAACTCGACAAAAATTATAGTTTCTTGTAAAAAAAAAAAAATGGACCTAGCAAAATAGTTTTTTGTCTCCTGAAAAACACCAAATTTTTTTGAAATTAGGCCCGTGTTCTAATAAGCGACTTAATTTTTTTTTACTTTAATTTTGACTAAAAATCGACCTATAGTTTTGTGATTAATGTTGTTTACTTGAATAAATATAACTTTTTATTTATGCAATAGTACTTATAAAAGCTTACCAAAACAGACGGTTTTAGTGGGATATTATCTGAAAAACAGCCCAATTTTTCTTTTTTTTTTAATAGAATGGGTTTAGCCCGGCAAAAAACCAGCCCGGGCTTTTTTGGTCTGGACTTTTTATGGCAACCCTTTAAATTGGTGTGTTGCCCACGTAAACCGATCAGCCCGTGTGTAGCCCTGGATATTGTAGGTTTAAAAAACGTTTACCTGTCGTTGCTTGTGCTATAGTACTTGTGTCGGGCAAAGCAGACGCGCGAAAAAAAATGTTGATATTTTTTTTTTTCTAAAAATAAAAAACTATATCGTGCTTACTCGGGCGCCACGGTATGTGTGTGTATAACATTACACTATTTTCTAATCATACACATTACAACGTGTTCGCCAACACGTTTGTCGTGACGAATTGTAGAAACAACCGACCGTGCAAACGACCTGTGCTAAGTACACACATACACAAACACACCTGGAAGTCTCTGGTCTTATGGTAACCACGGTCTTAGGTCCTTAGGCCACCGACGGCGGTATAGGAAACTTCAAAAACACTTTGATTTATCATCATCGTTCATTTCTCCCAAGGACGGGCTAGTAATATTAAAATAACATAATTATATTATTATTATGCATCATCGGGTCTACGGTGGTGGTTGACCTTTCTTGTCGCAAAATATAATATTGCATCCATCACATTAGGCGTCCGTCCAACATCTTTATATTATAATTATTAAAATATATTATTATTTCTATGTACACACACATAGGTAGTTTGTGCGAAAACCATCACAATGTGTGTACCATGCAAGTATAATATTATGTTTAGGCGTATCGATTCCCCGGCGCTGTTGTTAACCGCCTCCATCTCTTCCTTTCTTTGTGGGTTCTTTATAGTAACAATGATAATATTAATAATAGCTCGCCAATTGATTATAATATTATTTATATATATATGTATATATTATTCGGGCATACCTCAGGAACGTGTGCGAATCGTGTATTGCCAATTTCAGTGCAATATTGTAACGTCGTCGGGACATGACCGAATTACATCACACATATGCACATATGCACATAATAAGACTTTGCATCTGAACAAATCGCTTTCTTGGCTGATTAATTTCTGATCTAGCCGAAATTACGACGCGACAATCTCTCCCCCCCCTTTCTTTGGCCCCGCTCCTTACCCCAAGAAAACCCCTAATTTTCTACTTCCCCCAAAGCTTCTTTAACACTACACTTTAAAATAATTGTTCTAAAATTTGTCCCCACGAGGTTTTTAATCAAATGTTTACTTAACTCGATTCGGAACAGGTCGCAGAATTAATGTAGAATTTGTTGGTTAAAAGAAAAGATTGTTAGAAAACTGTGATTTCTGTTTGATAAAATATATTGACATGCTAGAGAAATTCCGAGGTTAGATTCAGGTTCAGCGAAAAACACTAATGTATTTTGGTTCTTATCTAAAAAAGAAAAAAGATCAAATTTTACTGTAAAATATAATTGATAACAGTCAACGATGATTTTCTTTTTTATATCTATTGAAAAATCAACAAAATCCACTATTTGGAACTGATTTAAAAATTAACACTCTTTTACAGAAACACTTATTACCAGTATTGAGACATTATACTTGTATCTGTTGTCAGCTGAAATAATAAATAACAAAAATCTATACAACGTTTAGGCAGAATTTCGCTTGGCCAAAATAATTTATAAACATTTAAGATTGTACAGTTGAACTTAGTCGTTTTTGCCCAAACATCAAAGAGATTTATATGTGCGTTATTGTTTGGATACAAAAATAAATTATAACTCAAAATTAATGTGACTTAGGAGAAAAACTAAAAACGTTTAAAACCGTTCCATTAAAATAATTCGGTCAGGAATCCGTTCCTTTTGAACGTTTCGGAAAACCCCACCGGTCGACAAGAGGGACTTAGGCCTGCATTAATTGACCGCTCGTTATACGTTTGTTGCTGTTGTCGAATAGGAATTTTGGGTTTTTAATGACGTCAAGTCGTCTCCTAATGGCCAAATAGGACAGAATAACATACACAAATACCTTAAATGATAAACACTGTCTATTGCTACTATAGGGATTCATAGGAATTATATCCAGCTAGACGGGCTGAATATTTCAGCCGTTTAAATCAGTTTTTTTGCAGACAAACTTCTTTAAACTTTCCAATAAGTGAACAATTGAAAATCGAGTCCCTGTCCAAACCGGAATCCATTAAAATAATGTACTAATTATTTTGAGTTTTTTTATTTGAACGATAAATTATTTTTTTAAACATTGTAGTTAAAAAAAAAAAAAATGACCGTTCGAACGATAATTTAATTATTTTTAACACATTACTCAGTATTCTTTTTGCTACTGGTTTGCGTGTGCAAGAGGCATTACCTTATCAGTTAACCCTAACCTAAGTAATCAGGTTTACCCTTTCTCCTGAGCAAAAGTAATGTCACATTCACAAAAATACAAAGAACATATTATTTTGGAAAACTTGATTTGAGTAAAAATTATTATATTCAGCCTGTCATAGCGTGTAATAATTGAAGGAATAAATAATTTAAAAAAAAAAACACACATATATTAAGTACAATTCTGTAATAGTTTGATTGTTGTAGTTGTTATTTCAATGTTCAAATGTTGAGATGGAAAATGTTTTGTCTGTAAATTCTGTTATACATTTCAACCGTAAAAATAGAAAATAAACCGTGCTGTGTATAATTATTGTTGTTTTGAAATGTAGGATGGGTTTTGTCAAGTTCATAAAATCGTATTCGTTTACATAGTTGGGGAAAAAATAAGCTAGTTAATGAATAGCAGATAATTTGAAGAATATTGTTTGTAATTTTAAAATCAATCGATAACTCGGCGGTACCAGCTATAAATTTTAAAAAAATGTTCAACATGGTTGTTTAAATGTTTTTTTAAATTTTCTTACAAATATGTTTTGGCGCGAAATTCAATGTTTCAAAAATGTTATATTATATACAAAATATTTCCACCAGAAATTGAGGTTATGGCGATAGACTTGTGGCGGTAGATCATTTTATATAGTTTAAAAATTATAGCAATAGACCTGTAGCCTTAAGAGGGCTTGATACCCCTATTTATTAAGGAATTAGATATAGGTAATCATTTGCAAAATCTTAATTTAAGGCTTAAACTGTAATGTGTAATTAGAACACATTTTTTTGGGTAGTTAAGCATCCTTGACAGCGATTTAAAAAAAAATTTTTTATCTAAACGCAAAATGCGTTTTACTAAGTTCATGGCTGTTTTAGAGAAAAAAACACCTATTGCGAAATCGAAAGATAAAAAACTTATGAGAAAAAACCGTAAAAAGTAAAACGTTTACAATGTAATTTTAAAACCAGAAATAAAAAAAAATCGGTCTTTTAGAAGCCCCCACAGAGAAAGTGATCTTTTTGTTGATGTCATAATATAAAAAACGCCCAAATTTTGAGTTGTGGCATTCTATCACCAGTGGGATTTTCCAAAATCACAGTGTTCTCGATAGGTACGAAACGACTGTACGGTTTTTTTCTCCAAAATATATACATATAAGTATAAAAAACGTTACAAAAATCAAACTTTTTCAAAGGGCCCCCGACAACGGCGGTAATCACACCTGTGTGTGTGTGTGTGTGTTAAGAGTTTGCCAATGTTGTGTGCACGGTATGTGTGTGTGTGTGTGTTTTGCGATTACAATCTCTCCCTCTAATTTATGCAACGGCCGTGTGTATGTATGACTGACTGACTATGTGTGCACGATTATTATTATATTGTAAGGCACTGTATAGAGAGCAATGGCAATATTCGCGATGTTGTGGTAGGGATATTCGTCGGTGAACCGAGGCGACGACGGCGACGGCTGAGCGCGGCCAGTGCGCGGCTCTCAGTGCCGATTCTGTGGAGTGTCTGCGCCGACCGCGAATAAAACAGCAAAGCGGGTTTCGCACGCGGTAAAAACCGAATAAAATATAAATAATAATAATATTTTAATATCGTATTAAAATTTAAAAATATATATATATAGTGTGTGTGTGTGAAACGTACGGGCGCGAACAGCCGCGACGGTTTTTTTTTTTTTGTATATCGTTTGTATTTTCGATTATAATATTATAAGAAATAGTAATTTTTTTTCCATTAAATTAATTGTATAGCGAATATTTTTGCAATTTTTTCGTTTTTTTTTTTCGCACCAAACACACACCGTATCGTAGTATATTATTATTATTATTAATAATTTTGATATAGCCGATTTGGTTTTTTTTTTCAACCGTCGTCTCGGTTCGCCCAATAAAAAGTTGTATGTGTCGGCCGACGGTGGTGCGCGGGTGTAGTTTTGCCGGAAACAGTAAAACGGTGCACGACGACGACGGCGACGATAATAACAATAATACCATTGTGGTGTACATTTTTGCGGTTCGCCAAATATTTTTACAGAACCGACAAGACTTAGAGAGGAGAGAGGACATAATATTGTAGAGAGAGAGAGAGAAGGAGTGGACCGACTCGTTTTTTGTTTTCCTCCCTCGTTTTTTTCAACAAAAAAATACCCCGCACAATAAAAAACTGTTTTTTAATACCTGTGCGTTTTTGTGTGTGTGTGTCTGCTCGGTTTCCAGGGCTCGAATTGGTCAAGTCAACCGCCATACCCGTCACCACGAACGACAGCAGCAACGGACTTCGGTGGACAACAGCTTAGCCGGTACTTTTGGCAGCAGCAGCAGCAGCAGCAGCACAATCATCGTCAACAGATACAACGGTGGAAAACCGTCGAAAATCGTCACGAGGAAGTAAGCAAGCGACGCAGACAACGACAAATTGAAACAAACAAAAAATAAAAATAATACCATAAAAAATTTGTTTTCCTTGAAAATATTAACGCTAAAAAAAAATTTTTTCAATAAAATACATCAACCGACGCCGCACGTCCAGGCCGGATTAATTAATTATATATATTTCAAATATATAAAAATTCATCTGTGATAGCGTTAATCGGATTCGTTTTGTTATCTGTTTAGAATTATTTATTTAATCGTTTAAAAAACACTAACACCGTTCGCTAACACTATCAAACAGTGTCGGCCTTTTTTTTTTTTTTGCTTTCCAAATCGGATTATTAAAAACAAACAAAGACAGAAATTTTAATTTAAAATTTACACACACATTTTCGCGGTAAAAATGTCTCCTCGACCAAGCGCGGATCTACTTACCGGTGCCGCCGTCCTGAGGATTCTGTTGATACTTGGCAGTTCCCTGAGCGGTTGCTGGACTTCTGACGCCGAACCACATGCTATAGCCGCACTTCCCACGTGCGACAGGTAAGCATGCACAAACGACCATAATAATAATAATATTAATATAATATTATACTACTATCTATTAGCCGTTATCCATTGGGGTAGGATCTTGGAGTAAAATGTATAATTTAGATCTGTAACATCATCAAATTATAATGCCCGGCTGTATTCGGCAACGGAGTAATCGAAAAAGCCGACCGACAGTGTGACCACTTTAAATGAAAATAAATACTTTTTTTATCAAAGTCCTTACAACACTACGGCTGTCTAAAAACAAAACATAGTAACTACCACTATTATCACAGTTGAATTTTCCATTGTGAACATGTGTTTGATAATAAAAAAAATTATCAATTGTATAAATAATTGTATTTCATGTTGTATTTCTATCATATAAATAGCTGCCCAATATAATCAGTAAAACCGCTCCTTTGAACAATTTCTACTTTTGTAGTTACTGTATTTCCTTTTTGGACAGCCGACTGCACAGTAGGTTCAATCTTTATCGACCAATACAGATCAATGTAAACTTGTATCGGAGAAATGTAATTTTTGTCATTCTGGTCACACTGCAGCTCGCCTTTTTACTTACTTCATAAAATTATTATTATATTGTTATAATAAACTCGAGGCCGGAGAGTGGTCATCCTGAAAAATATTGTCCTCATCGACTGAACCGTTTATGTTCATAAATAATATATATATATATATATATGGTTTGGTGGTCGTAAAATACACATATGTCACTTGCGGTGAAGTTTGCCCCACTGCAACTTGCCAGGTGCGACCGCTAAACTTTTCAAAATAATTATTTAAAAAACAGTTTTCCATTCGAATTGAACCATTTGACCTACCCCAAAGCGTTTTAACGTTAATAGGTTTTTTTTATGGTTATTCCTATGTACAATTTTTACAATTGCACTTGCCCCATTTAATGGCAACTACTTTTTCTTATGTTTGACATGTTCGTAAATGGTCTCTCACGATTTTTGTATGTTTTTTATTTTTTTATATTTGTTTAAAACAAGTTTTTTCGACTTTTTCAATTGGGGATTAATCATTTTTAAAAATCATCACGGTCAAACAATACCAAGTTCCGTTTTAGTCAAGAAAAATCCTGTTAAATCTATGTATTTTGATTCTTGTGGCATAATCGTTTAAATTGATTTACTCATATTGGGTTTTGTGATTTTATATTATGTTTATTGTTGTTCGTTAAATTCACGCTGAACATCAAGTAGTATATTTTTGTGCTAAGCATATTGTTATAATGCAAAAACCTGACGACTAAACGAAAATTAAATTACAACTTAATTGTTTATTAAATTACACTTCCCAAATGAGATTTATGTGGTTAGGTGACAGAAACAGATACCTAATATATAAATAGGTGTTACACAATGTGGCTGAACATTGTATGGCTGGGTGTTTTCTTAATTATTAAGCTATGATTGCCACTATAGAAGTTTTTTCTAAAGTTTAAAAAAAAAGGGACACATTAGCTTTTGCCGTCTTACAACGGAGACATAATAATTGGTAAATAGTGTAGAACTTTAATCAACTTTCTAAAAAAATATATTAATTTAAAAATCAATCATTTTTGATCTAGCGAGACATTTGTTTTCCAAGTTAACCAAATATTTTTAATTGACCGAGCTAATTAAATAGTTGCTCTAACTAAACATGTAGTTGGCCCAAAAAGATTTTTGATTCCGTTCGTATAACCAATATTGTCAAAACGATATTATGTTTTTTAATTAGTATTATTGTTTTTTATTATTCGATTTTTTTTTTTTGTGGGGGGACTTTGACCTTATATAATGTGGATAAATCCGCATTCGGTATTCGTCGCACGGACCGTTAACAGGTGTAATCGGTACCCTCGGCACGTATACTATAAGTACTTGGACAATAATAATATATTATTTAATAGTAATAATATATCAATATTATTCTTATCATCACAACATCATTATTGTTAGCCAGGCGTTATATTATTATGATTCGATTCGGTCGGCCTTGCCGTAGCGGTTTCGCAAACGGGTCGGCCGGCGAGACACTCTGTTGGAGGTCGGCGAAAAGGGAAAACTTAGCTTGGGACCGCGACTAAAAACATTATGTTTTTTTTCTTTCTATCCACGTTATTATAATATATTATCATCGTAATAATTTCTCTGCGCCAGAACACTTCCTCGTCGTCTGATAATAATAATAATACATAATTGTGTTTGAGTTTCTTTTCCATGTTCCCAACTAAAAGTCCTAAATTGCCCTTTTGATTCCCTTGTTATCACAACGTTATCACTGTTATCGCTGTTATCAGTTATCACATACTAACACGTTTTATGGTACAGTTTTTTTTTTTAATCAGAATTGCATTCGAGTAGAAAAAATGTTTGTCTGGGTTATGTTCTGAAAACAATTCCTTAAATGTTATATGTTGTCTTGACTTAGTAATTTTCAAACACTTATAAAAGCGTATTTTCTAATATAGGAGTACAAAATAAATAATATACAATATAATAATTGTAAATGACTACCGACTAGAAAAATAACAATACTGATAAACCTACTACTTGAGAGATACTTCAGTGTTGTCATATTACAGGGTGGTTCATTAAGGATAAAACACTCATTTTCTCTAAAAGTAATTGCAAATTTATAGTTTTTCTTAATGGAGTCACTTTAGTATATTATTTTGTTGTACAATATTCATAATTTTACTTGGCATTTTAAATTAAGAATTATTTCCTGAACAATTTGACCGATCGATAACTAGTTTTGGGTAATTACTTTTTAAGGTATTTAAGATTAAAATTTAAGACGGGAGATGGAATGCGGTAGAGTAATGTGCGCAGATAAAAATAATACTTCACTCCACCCTTGCTTCCGTCCTAAATATTATAAACTTGAACAACGTTAAAAGCAACTATGTCCAAAACTGGTCCATCGACCAGTCAAATTGTTCAGGAAATGATTGTTCTTAATTTATCAAAATGAATTAAATACGTACGATACCGCTTAAATTTCAAAAGCCGAATCTTTGGAAAATACATTAAAAGAAAAATATTTGCTAGTTTTATAGTTATGTACAATAGTAATATAAAAATGGTAATGGGATTTTTCCAAAATTAAAAACTATAAAATTGCGGACCAGTCATGCTACTCGAGTGGGAGTAACCTCAAATCGTGTAAATAGTGTACAATATTGTATTGTAATTATTTCCCAAGAAAACGAGTGTCTTATCCTTAATGAATCACCCCCCCCCCCCCGTATGATAAAATTTCTCTTCAAATTTCTATGAAATATGCTAAAAATTCCCATTTTTTCCGTTTATAAATTTTAACCAGATATGGTGGAAACTTTGCCTGCTATATCTCTACCATAACTTCCCCCGGTAAAACGATTTCCAGCGTCGATTGTAAATCATTTGTCATCGACTATTATTATTTAGTGCCCAATATATTATATTCTATTTGAATCAATAAACCTAACCTAACCGCGACGACGGGTTACCCCGATTAACTCGTTTTCAACGTCATCGGCCGTCGGCAGAGGTGACTCTCTGGTGTGACGTCACACACACTGTCTAACTAACCAAACCTACGCCAAAAACCGTGTTACACTCAAGTGGTCTCCACATCATATTAATGTATAGTAGCCTATTTTTACCACCAAAGACGGTGTGACGTATCAAGTCTAGTTAAAAATGTATAGAGAAAAATGTCAGCTCACATGCAAATCTCTAACTTGGGTCTAAAATGAACTTTTGAGTTTTTATTTTGCCCGGAAAATGTATTTTTTTTTTTTCATTATACAAAGTACGTTTTTAATTTTCATGTCATTAACAAGTTTATGCGAACAATTGACATTGGCCCTTTTAGCACCTAAGCTACAGAAATATGTACAAATGCTCGACCAATAATAATTGTAAGATCTATAAAGTACATATACCAATAATCAAAAAATATATTCCCTCCGATTAAAAAAAAATAGACAGAAAAAGAAAAACTAAAAAAAAAACAATAGCCACGTGTAGTAATCGATGAGTTGTTATTATTTAAAATATTATGTATGAAAATGTATGTTTATATTAATTGCGAATACAAAATTTACATTTTCTATGATTATTTTAATATCGATTAAATTTTCCAACATCAACAAAGTCTGTCCCGTGTACTCATAAGTAGTTTTGGGCTTTTCTTTTTGTGAGATAAATCCCATTGTAAAACAATGACGACAAGTCATAAAAAAATCTACAACAAGTAACAACATAAGAAATAGATTTTAGAAGCATTTTTAACCTAATAACATTTTTTTGGCCATTTTTTCCACTCCGTTACCATCATTTACATAATAATATTATCAATCTACCCAAACTTTCTTTCTCTCTTACTCATACACACATAATCGTTGGTTAGGTTAAGTTAGAATAGATTGGCGAGGTTTAATATTTAATCAAATTTCTTTATGTAATAACATTATGTAATTAAACTTAAGAAAAAATTGTGGGAAGGGCCAATTATAGTAAAAAAAATAGTAAAATAGTAGAGTATAATTTATAATAAAATCGCATACAGGGCAGGGTATGAGTAAGATATTAATTGTTCAATAACGTTTTTTTCTTGTTTTGTTTGGTAATAAACATTTTAACTTAATATTGGTAATGTTCTTACATTATGTTTTTATTTTTGTGTCCGGACCCAAGATATTTCCTAAACCGGCTGAACCAATTTATTTCAGCAAGTCTATAGATCAAAGATCGCACCTGTAGGAATATTAAATGGTCAAAAATTTAAAAACAGTATACCTTCGATCGAATCGAGTAGATCATCCAAAAAATGTTCATATTTAAAACTATGGCGCGTTATAACTATTTTGTGCACATCGTTCATTTCATATTTTTGAAATAAAAAAAATAGTTTTATTAGTTTTAAGTTTCTATAGAATATTCTTGAGATATATTACAAAACCAAAAAAAAAAAACAAAAATCTTTCCCCCCCCCCCAAGGTAGATCCACATGGGGCTATCCGTTTACAATTTTCTCAATAATTTATAGTTAAATTATTTCTTGTCTACTATCATATAATAGAAAAAAAATAGTATAACTCTAATGCTAAAAACAACATTTTTAAGCACAATGATGCCTTTACAATGATGTTGGAGATGTTTATTAAGTGTACTATTTACAGATTCACGTATGTTATCTTCCCTTGATTTTTTTTGGGGGGGGGGTGGAGGATGGGGGTGCTCTTTCTTTTGCCTTTATTTGGCTTTAGTCGCCCGGTACTTTTCCATTATAGGTTTTCTTAGTAATGTTTTACCCGCAGATTGGGGTGGTCATACGGTTTTTTTTTTGTTTTTCGACATTCCGGGATGTCTAATCTATATTTATACTCATCAACTCGCGCACGACCATCGTCGTCATATATTATGTATATATATATATATATATATATATAATTCACTTTGGTCGACAGAGAAAATGTTTGGCAAGGTTGCAACGAGATTCCTTTATACTTACTACTTACACCTACTGCCTCCCTCGGCCGGTTTTATGCGGTTCACTCTAGACCGACCACGATCCGGTACGCTTACGGCCCCTAAATAAAAGTAAAAAAAAAAAAAAAATTAAGAACAAATATATTTATATATATATATATATATATATATATATAAAAACCAGCAATGTACTTGAGACGCTCCGGTGGCGGCGCGCACTTGGCCCACTTTCGGCTGAGAACAATAATATATGTATAAAAAAAAAAAATTTTAACGATAAAAAAAGACATTCATTAATCGGCAGCCGATTCGAATCCGCGGGATAGTTTTAATAATTAAGAAAATTTAGCCGGTTTTTTATATTATTATTATTTTCTTTGCCAGTCACCCATCGCGTCCCCGTAACCAGGCGTACAAACCGCACGCCAAACGGTGGCATATACCTACCTACCATATAATAATAATAATACCTTATAGCTGTTATTTCGATACAACGTTAATAATAAGTTAACAGCTGATATTGTATTATAATAATATTGTTATTTTTTTATCCGTCTACAAATTCGATTTCGCGTACGGTGACTGCGCTCGCGCGCGCATTATAAGAAAGTGAATTGTTTAAAATATAATATATACATACATAATATATGACGTATATTATCACGTTATGTGTAGGTCAAATTATTCGAAATCGGTTCCGTTGATTAGCGTTCGGTGTATTAGTTCCAGCTGTCATAATAATTGACACGTGTTTTTACGACTAGTTATTATTATTACTTATTATATTCTATTCCAATTTCCAGTGTAATATATTAAGGAAAACGGTCAAAACCCCTGTTAGGTCTTGAAGGGTTTCGCCACCATAAGCAAATCCGTTGTCGTTTTACCACAAAATTAACAGAAGGGAATCTTAGAGTTTATCCATACACGATCAGACATATTGAGGTTCAACCAGTGTTGCCAGAACTTTGATACTTTTTAAAAAATTTCTGTGATCAATGGCTACACTGTTCATTTATTGTTGTACAGCAACAAATGTACAACGTCAAAACACAGTATCTGTATTTATCATAATTTTACAGGAGGACTATTTTTGTAAAATGATTCAGACCTCCAACCATGTAACTGTGTGATAACTCCTGAAATAATTGTGTGTTTCCAAAGAGGATATTATAGACAAATTTAGCATGTTTTATGTACCAAGAACTGTACCTGAACACGGCCATTTTCTTAGGGCTATAACTTAGGGCTTACCACTATAAAGTGTTATATCTATACATTATCATTATTTGTTGTGTATAGATATATAACATACAATACTAATTAGTCCGTCACAAAATGGCCGTAACTTTTTTGTTTTCATTGAAAGTTACCCTTCTGCTTTAATTTATTCTGTGTATAATTTATGTTATCAAATTATTTTCAAAATCCGCGATAACGATCTATAAATTCAGTGATGCTCAGTTAGGATACAATAATTTCCCATAAAGAATTTTTTTTATACCAGTGGTTACTCTGAGTTGAGGGGGGTTTCGGTTTGTTCACAATATTTTCAGCAATTGCATTGCTTTTAATAAGGACTGCGCCGTCTGGTTTTATCTAATCCGCGATACTATTCTATCCGAGTTACATAAAAAATAAATAAAAAACATTAAGGCCGACTACCGTCTTTAACGATTCATTACGAACAACAGCTGCGACGGATTGTTATTGTTTTTTTGAATTTTTTTTTCATTTCAATAATTTCTCTCTCTCTTTTAAAAAAAAATATATTCTACACCTGTCCGGTGAATGTTGGCAACCTGACAGCTGTTCAAAACTAATATTAATATAATTATTTTTATTATTGCCATCGTACACCGCTGTTGGTCTGCTACCCGGTATTGGTGTCAATGTCAGACGACGACATTATGACATTTGATTTTATATCATTACTTTTTTCATCATTATTCGACAGTAGGTTTGCAAGACAACGTTTTTCCGGTCTGCAGGATTCGTATGTCCCCAAAAAAAAAATTAAAAAAAAAAAAATCACCAAAACAGACTACCCGACTCGATTTTTTATCAATTATTATTTTCTTACATGACTTCTTATGTCATCACGTGGCACACCGCATTGAAGTCTTTTTTTTTTTTTTTTAATAAATTATTATACACATATAATATGTACCATAAGCCCGGTGCAGACTTACCCATAACCGTAAACGTTGATAATTATTACCATTATATTGTTATTATTCTTATGCAACATAGCCGTGGTGTGTAGTACCTACGTTCTAGGCGGTTGCCAATTTGCTGTTTTTTTTTTCTTTCATTATTATTGCCATCATTAACCGCCGGTACAACGTCGTAGGTACAACACGAGGTACATAATAATAATAACAACAACAACAGTAATACTAATAATACACCTATGGGCGACGACGTCTCTGGGTTGTAGTAGTAAAAAATAAGAAAAAGAAATTCGCCAATTTGTGTTGTGCCGCGACCGAGGACATAACGGTAACCGTACGGACGGTTTTTTTAATTTTATTATTTTTTTAATTACAAAACTAATATATATATAATCGCGCATTTGCACGCTCTGTGATACACTCGTTAGCAATTTTTACACGCTCCTCCGACAACAGGCCTTAGGTCGTCTCCAACCGGCCGAATTGTTACACCTCTCAAGGTCCCTAACCGAGTCGAGTGTCGGTTAGCATTTATTATAATAATATATATACTTAAGTTTTTCTCTGCGCATCCTTAAAAAAAAAAAAAAGAAAGACAAAAAAAATGATAATAATAATAATAATTGGCAATCGCCGCCCGATTGTCTGATTCTGCTATTATTGTTTCCTCTTCGTCTGCGGCACTAATTGGGCTTTTCTTCCTTTATCGTTTGGACGTTCATTAGGTTAGTTTAGATGTTGTTAATTGGAAAACATATTTTCTATAGTGTTACATAATGCATAGGGCTTTTTTTTTTTTTGGAAGTGTCTGCGTGAACGTGGAAAATCACCGGACCGATTCAATTATTTATTTATTAAACGCAGTACGGCAATTAAAAAAAAAAAACACATGTAGATAGAGAGAGCAAATAAATAGTGTAGGTAAAATAGAATAGAAATTTAAATTTAGCGATCTAAGACTTCGATTAACGGCTAAGGAGCATTTTGTAGATGAGATGGTTGTTACCATAAGAGGTACTGACAAGGTAATAAAATAGGCAGTAGTTTCTAAAAAAAAGGAAATAAAAAAATCTTGATCTATTGCGGTGGGGCCAGAAGCTGGAGTAGGCAGGCTTATTTCCAAAACTGAATACTTAACATATTTTGGTAAAATACATTGTGTGAGACATAAATAAAACTACTGTTCGGATGCGACGACCCGTGTATAGTCGTTACCGTGGAAATTTCTGTCTGCCAAAATTCACGAATCATCTCTTTTATCACTGTGAATACTTAAGACACACAAACACACCTCACGGTTGCCGCTGCCAATTTTGTGGTGCGTTTCGTCTGTCAACGGTTTGCCCGTGACACCTCGCGGCAACCGCGTCCAAAGCGTTTCTTCCTGCGATCTGTACCGCCTTGAAGTTAGTGTTTTGGCAGGATTTCAGCGATTTAAGCCGACAAGGACGTCACAACCAACGGCGTTACCGTTGTCGCATCCTCTGAATGTATTATAAAACGATTCGTAAAACATGACTGGTCTTAAATGCCAATAAGGCATTGCCCATTGCCGCAACACACACCCGCTATAGTTAGCTTATTGTTAAGATTGCCAACCCTTTATGAGAATGATCTAAGGTTTTTGTTATGTTTTTGTTTCGTTCCAGTGACATCTACTGTTACGGTCCGCTATTGCACGTGGTGCAGATGTCCAACATATTCCCGGACTCGAAGACGTTCGTCGACATGAAGATGAAATTCTCTCCCAACGAGACGATGAGCATGTTTCTGGACATGATGAAGGTGACGGGACAGCGACCTTCCCGGCTACAGGTCGAGGTGTTCGTCAACGAGACGTTCGAAGGCGAAGGCAGCGAGTTCGAGGCGTGGGACCCGTCGGACTGGGTGCAGCACCCGAAGTTCGTAAACGACATTAAGGACGTGAACTTCCAGGACTGGGCCAAGCAGCTGAACCTGCTGTGGAAGTTCCTGGGCAGGAAGATCAAGGACGACGTGCGCCTGCATCCCGACCACTATTCCATCATCTACGTGCCGTACCCCGTGATCGTTCCCGGTGGACGTTTCCGGGAGTTCTACTACTGGGACTCGTACTGGATCATCCGGGGTCTGCTGCTGTCCGAGATGTTCACCACGGTCAAGGGCATGCTCAGCAACTTCTTGTCGATCGTCAACACCTACGGTCACATACCCAACGGCGGCCGCGTGTACTACGCCATGCGTTCGCAACCGCCCATGCTGGTGCCGATGATGCAGAGCTACATCGAAGCCACCAACGACACCGCGTTCCTCAAGGAGAACATCGACATACTGGAACGGGAGTTCGACTACTGGATGCGCAACCACACGGTCGACATCGAGAAGGACGGCAAGGTGTACACGCTGGCCAGATACAAGGACTCTTCCGTCGGTCCCAGACCGGAATCGTACAGGTGAGCGCCGCTTAAGTCACTACGGTTGGTATCTAACCTAACCTAACCGGGCAACTGGGTCATGCGGAATTGAAGTTAATTTCAATTTCCTTGTCGTCAATGCAAATGTCTCCCTAACCGCATCCTTCGGCTGTTGCACGGTACACGGCCGGATAAGTGTCGGACGTGTCTTGCATGTCGGTTTATTACCTTTATTATAATTTTTTCGTTCCGTTCCAGGGAAGACATAATGAGCGCTCAGACGCTTAAGACCGAAGCCGACAAAGAAAACTACTATTCCGAACTGAAGGCCGCCGCCGAATCCGGATGGGATTTCTCCAGCCGTTGGTTCATACTGAACGGAACCAATAAAGGTCAGTTTTAAATCGGATTTCCTTGACCGGCAAAAACGGCACTTAATGCAATTATTAGTGTAGTTTGTTGCATATTTATTAAATATTAGTTAACCCATTGTCTTGTCGCGTTCATCTTTGGCCCGGCCGACATGCAAAAATACAGCACAGTCATATACCACACGGGTGCAAAGAACAATGCTGCTCAGGTTTGGTTGACGGGCTACTAACGTGTAGTTTTTTCTCTCCCAACATCTCATTCGGGTATCGTGCCCAAGGTTATAAAATATTAGAAGTTTTTTTTCAATAATTATTTTTCAATCCTGGTTTGAAAATGTATCTGATTTTCTTTTGTTTGTCAATAAAAAAACAATCTACGCAAATCATTGATTAACCGTGACCCCAACGCGCGCATTACCGCCTCATACTTTGTTAGGACACATATTTAGAAGCGTCTTATATTTTCATTAATATAAAAAAAAAAATAATAACATATACTACTGCTATTTAATATATTATATTTTTTTTTATAAAAAATATAATATAACTTTACTACAAGCCGGCGTACGGGTGTCTACAGGAACATTTTTACAATACTCTTGCCCTGTGGAATCCGTAGCCGAACAGGTACACAATGGCTTATACCGGAAACCCGACCAAAACGACAATGCCATAGCGTTATTATTATTGTTATTATTTGCCAGATAACCATTGTGTTTCGGTAATAAAACTTCGCCGTGTCTCGTTTTCGAATAAAGCATAAAATTTGCAAAAAAAAAAAAAAAATACATATTAAATAATAAAAAATTAAAATAAATACCTCGTTTTGTTTGGCTATTTTTTTCATATGAAATGTGACTAATATCAATAATAATAACGTATACATACATATAGTTTGGTCGGTAGGTCCTGTCCACTGCCACATCCCCCTTAATCAACTCAATTATAAGCTTTTTTGGTTGGTTTTTTTTTGCCTCTCCGAAACTGACAACGTTTTCACGCTGACGTATACAATAGTAATTATTATTAAGGTACACGCTTCCGTGAGCTAAAAAAAAAAATTGAATAATTCGTTACGGGTCGCTTGGTCCGGTCTCGTTCCCGTGTATGAACATAAGTGTTAGGCATGCTAGCTGGGAGTTGTTACAGGAGGTAGGTAGACAGACAGGCCAGCAGCAGTGTAGATCCGCATGACGTTAATCTCGATGGGCGTGAGTGAAAATCGAAACTTAACCGTTGTTAATCAATTACATTGAAACGACACCTGGAGAGGGTCTCTCGGGTCTTAGGGGGTGGCTGTATATTGGTTTTTTTAATGTGACGCAAACAGAACGGCTTAACGTGGTCAGTTCGTAATCATGATTGAAGCCATCGATGATAAAAACAAATATGTATGTCAGCGTAAAGGGAGCCAATCTAAATCATAAGTATAAAAGTACACGGTAAAATAATTAGGATATAGTAAAATTGATATCCCCTTACGCTGCCATTTTGTTTCCGGAGAACATCATTTCAAATCGAAATGATGCGCCATAACTTGTACATGCCGCTAATAGAAATAATTAAAGTTACCATTTTCCGCCATCTTTGGGAGAATTAAAACCTTATCACATGTTTATAACTGTTATCACTGTTTATCACTATTTTATGATAAGAGGTAAACTCTATTTTTATTATACAGCGTACCAACCGCTCAACAGTGGAGACATTTTTTCTTTAACGCGGCCAGACTGATTTTAGTCCTTCCGTTTAGTTCACTATCGCATACAAGCTAGTATAGTTAGATCATCTTTTTATAGCATTACTCTATTGGGTGTCTCCTTACATTGAACTTGAAGTAATTGCGCGCACAGCCAATCATTTCACGAGATAAGGGTAAAATGTTTAGGAGTTAGTCGAGTTGGTCGGTTGTTCTGCAATTGTGTGATTATATGAAAACCTAACATGATTTTGAATATAAAACCTATTCTATCTTATCCTAACTTGACAATTAATATAAAAACTATTTCTTACCTCTAATACAAAATCTAGCCTAACGTTTAATATCAGACTTAACCTAACCTTACCCCTTTAATGTACTAACATAACCTAACCCGTTTAGTCGGGTTTGACTCCTTTTCAATTTGTTTGAAACAAAGTTTATAGCAGTTTTAATTGATTTTTCAATAACAATTTGATTTTTAATTTCAAATTATTTTTTTTAATCATTTTATCTACCTATAAAAAATATAATTGCCTCTGCTTTTAAGACTGTCGGCTGGCAAAGTCGGTAATTCATATTATGTTCGTTAAGTTTGGTTGAATAAAATTATATTATTGAATAAGTTACGCTTTAAATTTCAGTTGCATGTCCAATTTATGTAATATATAATTACACTTGGCGCAAACGGTAAGTAGTCAAGTTAAAAAAAAAAATGTTAAGGAAAAATATAGTATATATGGTTTTCAAATTTACTATTAATTTTAGAATAATGTTTTGTTTTTTCTTATAAAAACATAACAAATTATGTTCTTCCGAACTACACGAAGAGTACAAGGTATGCGGCAATGGTTTTTATTTTTTTTTCTCTTAATAGCCTTTATTAAATGTTTGAAATTTCGAAACTGTTTAATATTCGTTAACCTTTTTGTTAAAAGATTTAACCTTTTAAATTAACCGAGCACCGGTCGAAAAACAAACGTGTTGCGATGAATCATTTTTACATGATGTCGAAACGCGATTGGTCTGGGAATTTCAATTTGCGATCCTTCGCGTTTTCAAGGCGATTCGGTAATTGCTCGAATTAAAAATTCGCCAACAACATAAAAAAAAATGGTAATAAAAAACACACTATTCGACGCCGGCGTAGGTATTATACTTGCAAAACAGTTCTTGAACCGCTTCTTGAATTACGCTCTCCGAAAACGTTTGTTGAATAATAATAATAAACCTTTCGCCGACGGCTTGTCGAAAATTTTACAATTTTTTCCCCTTGTAATCCGATTGAATTACATTATAAATAAAAAAACGTGTTTTATGCACTGTTTGTTCATAATAACAGTATAAATTCAGTGTATTATAAAAAAATTTCCACGGCCTTGTGCGTTGGGCCTCGACTTGTGCGCGCGTTCCATTTAACCTCATCGTTGCTGTTGCTGCTTTGCTCTACCGGATAATGTTATTACACACATTATATTGTAGAAATTATAATATATTTTTGCAACTGTTTGCATCGGTCCGCCGACGTTATAGAGTATAATATTATATTGTACCCATCCAACCTATATCCTATGGCGTCTTCCCATCTATAACGTTCTGTTTGTCATGACCGAATCGTAATTGTCTAAATGAGAAACAAAATCTTCGAAATAAAATTGCTATCCTGATGTTTGCCAAGAAAACGTTCCGTTTAAAATGTCAGTTCAATACCGGACGTTTCTTTTGACGCCCTACACTAGTTTATTATTAAAATAATTACAATAAATGCGGAGTGTTTCTTTTTGTATTTATGTTATAGTACAATATAAGACAATATTCAAATTTTTGAAAAATTTGACTGGTAAGGCATGCCTGGTTGTAACACAAGCGTGAAAAATTGTTATTATATAAACTACTAAGACAGTTTTTAATGGGTTTCACACACTTGGGGGAGGTGGTAAGCCCCTCAGCTCTCTTCTCAGCTGTTGCGCCCATGTCAAATCAGCGTTTGTCGGTCAGTGTCGGTTATCATCAGCTCAACTACTTTCAAAGTAGTACTTCAAACGATGTCGGTTTAATAGTAATTAAATATCATTAAATTCGAGTCGTGAATAATTCTGGTATTTTATCTATATAATTATTAGCGATTGGCATATTACTATTACAACCAAACGGCTAACTAGACCAAGCCATATCGACTCGAGGGATATTTTACATTGAACCAAATGACTGCATTACTTTCGGATTGTTTCGGTACTGCTATTATTAATTACAATATATAATGTGTATTGTACATAGCTTCAAATAACACTCGGACAATAGACTCAAAACAGTTAATCGTAACTCACACGACAGACATTTAATTTTAATTTTATTAGACTGTTTTTTTTTTGGAAAGACAAAATTAATTTTCAGAAATATTTGTTCATTTATAAATTTGAACGCCTTATTTTTTCTGTTTTTTTTATAGCCCGACCTAATTTGATACATCTTAAAGTTTTTGATAATATTAGTACTATTTTGGGTTACATAAACCCAATGAAAATCCTTATTTTCGGGTAAATTCCAAACATTTATTGCATTAAAAAAAAAACCGGATTTTTGCCAACTCTAATTTATCATAACTCAATCAATATTGCCTTTATGATTGTTTTTTCTTTTATTAACTTCAGTCTAACCTTGTTCACCACTGCCGTTGCATAGTATAGTTTATTTTATTGTTTTTACCATTAAAATAATTTGTTTAACGACCGCACATTAAATAGCCGACATATTACCGTTATTATTAGGTGTCGAAGAGACTAATAATAACTTTTAATGTGAGCAATCGACAGGTCAAGTCTAAATTAAAAGTAGACAGTTAAAAAAAATATATTTATACTCACCCAAATTATGTTATTTTTGTCACAGAATAATAACCATCGTTAATATTCAGTTTACCAGCGCAGAACGTTTGTAAATTGCATACAGTGTATGTATTTTTCTCGAATCGTTTCGCTGTTTAATACAATACTAAACAAATTATATTTTTCGTCTTTGTCAGCGTTTTCATGTTTCTTTATGTTAAACGGAAGTGTTCAGGATTAATCTGTTTTGACGTCGAAGCAATTATTGTTACTTAATGACGGATAATTATTTCCTAGTTTACCTCAAGACAAACAGTGAACCGAATAGGAATTATTTTTTATTTTATTTTATTATTTTACACGTGATAATTCAGTTAAAACTATATATATATATATATTTTTTTTTTTATGTACTATTATGAGAAATTATCATTACAGTGAAACGACACGACGGTAATGTTCTTACAAAGTACTAATTATATTTTACGCACATGACCGCCGTAGGCCATCAACAAATAGAACAATTAATAGTATACCAAATTCGTTTTCGGCGTTTCAATTGATGTCCTCTGTACTTGAGTACACATAACGTCTGCAAGACTTCAAAGACTTTGGCACATTGTCTTAGGCGATGGCAGCTTTTGCGGTGGTATTTGCTAGAGTACATAGTTTACTCATCTAACGGGTATTCTCTTTTAATATAGCTGCATTCTCATTTTTTGTGTAGTAGTTTTAAGGAAATGGGGGGGGGGGGGTGACGTATGATGTTCTTCATTTCGAATAACCACATACGTTACAAATGGTGCTTAGGCCGAAGACAAAACTCGTTCTGGCTGAAGACATTTACTTTGTGCCCTCTGCCGTTTAACCGGTGCAATGCTCAAGAACGGCAACCGATTTTATACGGGATTCCCGCCGTCAACAGAGGTACCCTCGTCATAGTCTATGGACGACCGGAGGGTAAACTACGACGAAGGTACCTCCGTTGACGGCGGGAATCCCGCATAAAAGCGGATGCCAATTTTGTGTACGGCGCGGCTCATCTGTATGTGATATTCCAACAACGTTGTTAATAATGTTATATCGTTTGCGTATGTGCTTTCAGGAAATCTGACCAACCTGAAGACCAGGTACATCATCCCGGTGGAACTGAACGCTTTGGTCTATTGGAACGCGAAAATACTCAGCGAATTCTACCGCGATCTCAACATGCCGGAGAAGGTGTTGAAGTACGAGAACATCGGAAACAGGTGGATCGAAGGCGTGACGGCCGTGCTGTGGCACGAGGAGGTCGGCGCCTGGTTGGACTACGACATGATGAACGAGATCAAACGCGATTACTTCTACCCGACCAACATATCGCCGTTGTGGACCGGCTGCTACGACTCGAAGAAGACCGAGTACTTTGTGTCCAGGTCGCTGAAATACTTGGAGAAAACACAGATCATGAACAACTTGGGCGGCATACCGACCACGCTGGAGCACTCCGGCGAACAATGGGACTACCCAAACGCGTGGCCCCCCCTTCAGTACATCATGGTCATGTCCCTGGACGCGTCCGGCGACAGCTGGGCCCAGGACTTGGCTTTCGAAATCGCCGAACGGTGGGTCAGGTCCAACTTCAAAGCTTTCAACGAGACGCACTCCATGTTCGAAAAAGTGAGTGTGCTCGGTTTCCTAACCTACCCGTCTGTACGGTAAGGGTGTACAAACTTCACCTAACCAACACAGACGGCTCCCTATTTGCTTCCCCGTTCCTCAGGAGCCATCGGTATCGTTTGTTAAACAAGCTTACGTTAAGACTTAGACCTGTTGAACAACACAGTCCATCTTGTTTTCTCAAATATAACTCTACGTTTGGGAAGGGTTCTACCCCTTCAATGGTCTAACCCAATCCAATCTAACAACTCCCCTTCTATAATGGATCTTGCGTTTGAACCTAACCTATTCACGCCTTTTCTTTCAAAGCACAGTCGACCTGTTGGTTGCCATGTCGAAGTAACCCAATGAGAACATCAGCTATAAAAGCACATTAAAATAACAAAGTTATTGTCTGGAATATTAAACGATACAAAATTCAATACAAAGCCAGAATGTTTTATTGAAAGTAACAAATGAATATTTATGTTATTTTGTACATTTTCATCCTCAGATATTCAAGTTATTTGCTATTATTTTCATATATGGTATGGAAAAAAATCCATTTAGACCTTTTTTGGTTTTAAAGCAACGGCGTGCTTTCTACTGACTACCTATAGGACCCCTAATTTTTTTTAACTAGAAGCCTTCTTAATGTTGTTCTTATTGTTCCCTTCTTAATTGTATAACTGGTATGTATCAATGGCCGTGTTACTTGACTTAAGCTTATCAATTGTTAGTCAAGTAGGCACGACCATACCAAACATACCGTGACCTATCCTGACCATTTCAAACATAACTTACCAAAACCTTACCTAGCTTTTCAGCACTTCTCAGAGTGGTTTATGTTAAATTTTTTAACGTTGTTTTTTTTATTGTCTTCCGGTAGTACGACGCTACGGTTCCCGGTGGACACGGCAGCGGTGGAGAGTACGAGGTGCAGCTGGGCTTCGGCTGGACTAACGGCATAATCATGGAGTTCTTGCACAAGTACGGGGCGCGGATCACGGCCGAAGACAAGTTCACAGAGGCGTCTCAGATCAGAGCCAGTCCCATCAACAGCAGTAGTAATTTTAACACCAAGACCGTGTCGTCGGCGACACAACTCATGACTGCGACTCTTGCGATACTGGCCACAATATCGGCCGGATGCATAGGGTGAGGTCAGTATCGATTTGCTATTTCAATCAAATGTGCCCACAGCCAATGCCTATGTGTGTATCCCTTTTACATTTTTCCCACGATATTTTCTCTGTGGCTTTGGAAACGTGTGATATATAATATAAAAGTTATAGCAGAACGGATAGCTGAATATTTACTTCAGCGAAAATGTATTAAAGAAAATACAAAGGTCAATTCCATAAATTGGACGCGACATGCCAAAAATAATATATATATAAACAAGCAGAGAGAGAGTGCGTGTAGGTTCATTACATATCCTTGTCGATATAATTACCTCTGCTTAACGACGAAAATATTTTTCCTGTAATTATATTAAACGGTTAAGTGCGTTTTCTCGTTTGATAATTTATTGTATATAAATTACTATACTTACCCAGTAAGTAATCGCTGTTAATGTTCCGACCAAGTTATTTGGCACTGCCGAACAATAGCCACCACTATAACATTCTACCTACTCAGAGTTTAGGTACGTAAAACCTTGGCCAAGTCAAAACGCTGTCTGATTTAAGTACCTTCTAAACTATAAAACTAAACAGCTCATATTGAGCAATAATTTAAATGTTTTGTGGTCTTTACATAATATATATTTTTTCCGTCACAACCACATCCAAATGGACACTAAAAACCGATTTGCAGGGAAGGGAAAAAGATAAATAAGGGGGAGGCAGTTAAAAGAATATATATTGGTAATAAGGATTTTGATTAATATGTGATAACAAGCTGATAAGAAATTATATATAGTGATAATATTGTTACTGATAAGATAAATTGAGGAGAAATCGGATGATAAAAAACAAGATGGTTGCTGATACTTAATGGCGGCTCGCTGCAAATCGTTTTGTGTTTTATAATTGCCAATTTCAGAATTAAATTTTTAATGTTGTTTTTTTATTATTTCCGTGTTTAATTTTACTAATATTTTCTGTTATTTATTTTGTTTGTTTCAGATGTTTTACAAAGTTAAATTATATATTTATATAAACATACCTAGTTAAATTATAAGAACATTCCATTGTGAAACGCTGGAAGGATCTCTTTTAATTATCAGGTCAGACGTATTTAACAAAACAAAACCAATCCAAAAAAAAAGGTTTTCTTGTAGTTTACTAAACTTTCTTTTTTGTGCTATCACATATCAGTTAATTTATTGTTTTTGTTTATTTGTATTTTTTTGTCGTTTTTGTACATGCGAAAGACGTATAAGTAGGTATATTATTATCATAGTTGAGTTTACTGGCTTTTTAGTTTTATTGTTTTGTTGGCACGTGGAAATTTTCATATTTAGTTTGTTGCGTGATCGTTTATAATAATATGACCATTATATTTTAGTTCTCATAATTAATAATAATTATCACACTATCAAAAAAAAAATTCGTCCAACGATGATTTTACCAAAGTAAAAATAAAAACGATTAATTAAAATCGATCATTTATAACCATCACCATTATCATATTTTACATTATTTAATAGTTAGATCTAAAAATTTGTTTTTATAATACATCAACTAATGTGTGTGTGTATGTGTGTGTGTTTTTTTATTATTATTATATATTATACATGTATAATAATTATAAAACTTAGTCTGTAAACTATTATTATTATTTTTTTGTTTTGTAATAAAGTAATAATATATGGAGTTTAAGTTCCTTCGAGCAATCGCGTTGCTGTGAGTCCAACCAAAATTATAATATTATTATTGTTGCCAGTTATGCGCAGTATATGCTTAACGTTTTTTTTTTTTTTTGATGAATTAAAACAAAGTAATGTATTGTTTGTAAGTTTAAAAAACAAAAAAAAGATTAGAGTTAGTCAGCACGTTTTAGTGAGATTTGAAAAATTACCGTATTTATTGAATACAAAGCTTGTTTGAACGCGTCTAACATAATTAACAAAAACATAAACCAAAAAAAAATTGTGCAGAGTACACGTCTTTTTGTTTTAAAAAAACGTTACACTTTAAATTTTTCTTACAATTTTCAACACAATTCAATAAGAATGATATCATATTATCGTGTACTGCATTTTGATAGATCTGCTTATTTCCTAGTGACGATCACAACACAATATCTATTATTACCATTATGAATAGGTATTTTTTTTTAATTTATATTTTTTATCCTGTATAGATAGATAGTAAAAATAGTAATAATAATAAATGGATAATATTAAATTAATATTTATATATTACGATGTTTTATTATAATAATTTTAGACGCCTAATAGTAATACATATATATATATATATAATACTAGTATATATAAATAATAATATATATATATTTTAACACTCTATAGTAATAGTATATAAAAAGCGGTTATAAAATAAAAATTAATAGTAAAAAAATCATACACGTTAAGAGGTTTTTTTTAATTCGAGAAATTTTCAATGAAATCTTATAAAAAAAAATATCACAATTATTTGGTTGGTTGGTTAGTGCAACGGTAATAATAATTTTTGGCGGCGAAAAGGAATAAAATTTGTTTGAAATTTTCGTTGGCTACATTTTTGATAGACTTTTTTTTTTTGTTTTTTGCCCCGGTAGTTCCTATGGTAGAATCCTAAAAACTTTTTTTTTTCGTTTTTATTATTCCACATAATAATATAACTATGATAAATGATGGTTATTTTTTTTTTCAAATTTATGCCTATATATATATATTTCTAACTTTTCTTTTACCATTTTGCACTGGCCGAATCTAGTCAGTCTAGCTAGACCACAGTTTTAGGACAAAGGGGAAGGTGTAGGGGGGGACACGGCAGACATTGAACAACACAAGTACACATAAAATTACTCACAACAGTAATTTTTTTTTCTGTAAATCGGTTCTCTTTATTTTACAAAAAATAAACCGCCGCCATCGTTGTAAAAGCATAGTATAATAATATATTAGGTATACGTTTTCTAAATAATTCATGTACCATTTACTCTTACACATTGTATTTATTTTACAAACACAAATCATAAAAACATCACTGTATACCATTTTTTTTATTTATTATTATCGCTCAGTCACGTTTTAACAATAATTCAATAATAATAACAATTCATTAGACAAATAATCATCGAACAAGCGGTTGGTTTTGTGCAAGAAAAAAAAATCATATTAATCAAATTTTCAATTACATTTCCACCCTCCCACCCTTTCCCCTCTTTTTTTTGAACAAATAATTTTGTTTATTTTCAAACAAAGTTTAGTCTAGTCTGTAGTACAAAAAATAAACAATTTATAACCACCACATAATATATATGTATATATAAATATACATATGTTACCACAACATGATTATAATAATAATAATATACATATTATTTGTTTTGTTTTTTTATCATCAAAATAATCTGTGCATACATTTTTTTCGTACCTGCTTCAGCTATGTTACCATTTTTTTTTTGTCTCCAAACAATTATTATTGTTTTTTTTTAATATTTTTAATAATAATATAATACCTGCGATAATATTACTAATACTATTTAACAATTTTTGATTTTTTTCAACGATTATACCATAATAATACATAATTTTTATATTGTTGTACGATGGTTTTGTCTCTTTTTTTTTTTAGTTTTAACTGTGTTATTTTATAGGCTTGTTTGCACTTGATCGTTGTTGATTAGTTTGTTTCCCAAAACCAATTGCAACAGTGGCTAAACTTTTAACGTTTTTTTTCCATTCCATAATCGCCTACTCAATTCCAATCATTGATTTACTTTGTACCTATAATATATTTATTAATTTATTATTTTTATTATCTATATTTGTAGAATCCTACTTTTATCTTTTGACCATATAACACGCCGCTATATATTATTATTCATATATATATATTTATTTATTTATATATAAATGGTATATGATATATTGTATATTAATTGTAGGAAGGTCTGAACGTTGTTTTGTTTATTTTGATTTTTGCTGTGTTAATATCATTTTCTTTGATATATAATATTATTATAATATTTATAGGTATCATCATTCATCATGCATGTATAGTCTATATAGTTTAATAATAGTAGTATAATATTTAGAGAATGTTAATTATTATTATTTTTCGATATTTATTAATTTAAAAAAAAAAAAAAAACGATTTTTGTACAAAACCCTACACGAGGAAATGGACTTGTCGGGTCTTTGATATGTTTAAGAAGAGCGCAGACACTGTCAGACATCCGATAAGTCTCCTCGACGTAATTTAATCTATTACCATTAAAAATAATTGTAAAAAATCATTATTAAAAAAAAAAAAATTACATATAAATATATATTTATTTATAATTATTGTGTTAATTTTTTCCACCGTTTAGTAGTTTAGTTTCATATCATTATATAACAAGCATTATATTTTACATACATTTTATGCCTATCATTAATATTAGTTTGATTGAAACATTGTTGGTCGCCTTTTCCTATCCTAATAATGATAATAACATTAATACACGACAAATCGATTTACCTACCTAATATATTATTAACGTTAACGATTGTAATAAATTACTATTATTATTATTATTATTATAATTATAATAATAAACTCTAATAATATTATTTTTTAATGTGATGTAATATTATAATTTATGAATACAGTTATTGTCTTTTGTTTTAAATAATCATTTTTTTTTTTTATTAATTTCGGCTCAACCTGACCTTTTTATTTAGTGCATCAGATAATAAAATTGGTTATTTACCCGTTTAAAATAATCTATTTGAAAAATAATTTTTTATTTGTATTTAATTACACATTTTTTCGGTTAGTAATTAAACTAATTAGTTTTTTAAATAATTATCCTTGTTTCAGTGTTATTATCATGAAACATAAAAACTCCAATAACAAATAAAGCCAAAACTCTGTTAAAAAGTTTAACTGTGGCATTGCTCCATTGAACAAATTAAGTACTAACCGCTAACGTTAGTTAATGTGTGTTAGTTTGAGTGGTGTAAAAAAAAAAATAATAATAGCTGAATATCAATTTTGCTTTTTCATTTTGTTAACTTGCCTAATATATACTTACAAACAAGGACAACCGTGTTATCATCATCTACCATTTGCGCCGTGTTTGGGTACAAGTAATTATTTTGACTATTTTTGATTTCTTAATGCTAGCATGCTTTTTTTTATAGTAGTTTTGTTTCCATAATCATTAGCAAAATATTGTGTTGTCTAATCCGAGCTTCACGTTTTGCATCATCGAGCCGGCATCCAGGTAATAAGAACTTTGTGCATTATACTTGTATTTTATTCATTCGTAGATCTAGGGTATGTATAAAACAAAAATGTCTCAACAATGTGCAGTACAATATAACTTCTCGACTATTGTCCTATCCCAATCGTATATTATATCATTCCATTACTAAAACACATTGCTTTAAACGATAATAATTTTGGACCTTACAACACTTTTTTGGGACGTTTAATGTGTTTTCAAATAATTATTTTTGTCGGTATGAAATCGCGACTACCGTGGATTAATTTTTGTACTCGGTTTTTTTTCCCCTTTAGGTTTGCCGTGTACAAGAAGCGTTACCAGATGTATTCTTCGGACAAGGCCATGTACAAAAAGATGTGCGGAGGCTACACCGAACTCAAAGACCTGACCAGCGACTGAGCGGCCGTTTATATAACAAATTACTACACTTATTTATATAATATTTTTGTCGCGTTCCATATATTATAATACTAGTCGAATAAGTCGAGTCGGCGGGCAACAGCGCAGAAAAAACCAAATTTTTTTTTAGCTAGTATCATCATCGTCGCCCCAAAAACCCTACCGGCAAGTCGTTACCGTTTTTCCGGGTTAGTAATGAAACAATATATTATTGTATTATTAAGACAGTTGGGATGACACGTCCCTGTCAGAAACCGAGATCCATTCGTTTGCTGTATATATTGTGTGTGTGATTATTATGTTGTTGCCAATAATTGTGTATGCGGTTGAGAGTGAAAAACGAGGGGAAATGAATGTCAGATTTCTAAAAACGCATACTTGATCCGAAAATGGTAAGTCTCCTTGGACCTGTTGTTGTGGTGTGTATTTAGTGGTTCAAAACCAGTATTATAGTAGTGTAAGTACACCTGTGTGTGTGTGTGTGTTTGTATGAGTGGTGTTACTCGATATAGTATTTCATATATTGGTATTTTAATTAGAGTGTAATCAATATTATTGTTATTATACTAGTGTGTTTAATATTTGCACACAACAATTACCACCGCCGGTGTACATTATTGTCGTTATGGCTTTGCTAGTGTAATAAAAGTACGTATATATATATATATATATATATATATATATATATATACCTACCTAAGTATTCTAAACGTATATATATATATATATATATATATATATATGTATAGGTATACAACACATTTGTGGTGTTTTATGAAATTTGTATTTATTCCAATAATAGCGAGACAATTCGGATTTAAAGACGTTTTTTTTGGGGGGGGGGGGGGATTATCAAACATTTTTATCTGTATTTTGTTTGAGTAGTTATCTTTTGGAAATTCACAAAATCCATACGTATGATTCAAAACTGATTGTTGTTGGTCAAAAACATAATATTGTGTTTTAAATGGTCGTTTTTTTTTCTTTTGAGGGTTAACTTTCACACGTGGATTGGCAACATTTGACATTGACCGTTAAAGTGTTAAAACCGGAATGATCATAATATTATTGTTATTATGAAAACAACGAATTGTCGATAATTAATAGGTTTTTTGTTAAATAATTTTTTCAGTCAACCGAGATTTAGGTTGCCAATACAATAGTATTTATTTTCAAAACCTGTTGTCGAGACTAGTCATTATTATTTTTATCAATGCATCATTCTGCTTGTAACAGCCGTTAATCAAATCATAAACTTAGGTTGCTATTTGACGTTTGAAAGTCACCCTTTTTGAGACTACCCGTTAGAAATAAGTATAAATATGTTTTCGACAACTCAATACCAATATTATAACAACGATTTTATTTGAACGCTTTCACAGAGACCCAAAAACAACATAAAATGTACACAAATTTAGTATAATTATTTTTGGACCCCAAGAATGTGCCCCCCCCCCCACACACACATAAATCCAGGCCTGTAATTGAAGTATTACATTTTTATTCTATCATAATTTATTCTATAGAAACGTAAGTTTTATTGTAAAAAAATGTGTTTTTTTTTTGTTGACTGAAGAGTTTATCCGAAAAACTGAGAGCCAAAAAGGTGATAATATTATTAGCGTGTGTTCGTTTGGACCGACAAAACGTTACCTAAAAATACTTGTTGGTTAATTTTGTTTTTAAAAATATAATAAATATATATTTATTTTTTAGAATAATTATTATACAATATAATATAATATATTGTAACTTATCATTCCTCTTTGATAATATACCTATGTAATGTATATAGATTAGGACCTATAATATATTATAACCTGTACTCTGTGGGTATATCAATTAAAATGTATTTTAAATACTAGATATTATATTGAATATAATCGTCTAATGTATAAAAATAGTTATCTTTTTTTAGTATTATGCTGTAGGCCTTAAATATATACAGTTATAAATTTTACCGCTTTACTCGAAACGTTTTTCACCCTTCTTATCTTCTCCTTTTGTTGTAATTAGAATGTAGGTATAAATACCTATATAGAATAATATACTCTATGCTCTGAAAAGAATGTTACATATTTTACATATTGTTGTAATTTTTTTTTTTTTTGTGACTGATGTTATACTTAGTTTTTGAACATATCTAGATATGTAGGCACCTAATTTTTTTTGAGAGCGGTCCCTCTTAGAAAAATCTGTCCCAACAATAAAAGCTTTAAAACGTACATTATGTTGTTGTCCGTTTGTGGATAACCGAAATTGTATTGTGTACTTAGATTACCGTTAATGGTTAAATGCTCATAGTCTAGTATAATATTATTACAGTAGTCGACGATAAGTATTTTGTTGTTAGACTTGTATTAAAGTTAGGTATTTATTTTTCTGTTAGTAAAAATATTATGTTTGTCTGTATAATATACATAGGTATTTATAATATATATATATATATGTATTATACAGTAATATTTTATTATATTACAAGTATTGTGCATTAAATGTTGAGTTAGTTATTTGATTATTATTAATGTAGTTCGGTGTCAGCCTCTGGAGTTGGAAGTTTGGAACAAGTTCTCCCCTTCCACCGTTTAAAATCTACAAAAAACACTCTTAAGTTAACTCTTTTCTACCAGAATGGGTGGATACTTTGTTTTAAATTTAATTTAGCTATTTCAAGTGTAGTTTTTGGATTTTTAGGTGTAAAACATTAGACTACAGATAGATTTAGTGTAGCCCCATAACACAATATGAAGAGTACAAGGGAAAGAAACAGGAAAGTCGGTTATCATATTATAAAAACGTGTTGAAATAATGCTAAACAAATGTTTTAAAACGTTTTAAAAATACTTAAAAACTTTTAAAAAATGTTCAATTTTTGTTCTTAATCGTGTTTAAATATATTTAGTATCAAAACAAATTTTATTACAACAAAATAACCGTTTTTTTTTTTTTAAGTGACTTGCCCGTTTTTTCTTTGGACCCTTCATATGCAGTTTTTGAAAAAATCCATAGCTAAACCTTTTTGTTTTACTTAAAAAACCACTAAAAACATTGCTACAAATACAATCATTTTCACTTGTTTATATTTAGTTTTTTTTTCTCGAAAATACTGTAAAATTGTGTTGCTTAACCCAATCCTTTTTTTCTTCAGTTGATATATTTTAAACCGTCCATTATAATATAAGTATAGGCATCATCCCCATCAGGTAAGTGTTGTATATTCTATTTTATACTTCAGTAAGTATTCTAATGTGGCTTAATCATAAACCGCAACAATATTATAACATACCTAAATAAGATGGGTAAAAAAACAATTTTTTTTTTAACGCCTAATTGTGTTCTTTTGCAACGTTGCAAAGTTGAGTTTTTTTTTTAAATGTGATAACTTTATAAAAAAAACATGACATATTCGAACATATTATATTTTTATATAACTCCTTATTTTTTGTTTGAGAAGTTTTCGGTAAAGTTAGAATTTACTTGCCTTTATTAATTTATTAAGTTATGAGTCATTTTTAAAACATATTTTTATAATTTGCTTTTAATTATTTTCATACTAAATGAGTGTGTAATACAAAATAAAATTCAAATTTGTTTAACTTACATATTTGAACACAACACCCAACTTACTGTGAGAAAACACAATTTATTTACTTCCAATTTTACGAGTTGGTAAGTTTTGATGCCAATGTGGAGATGATGAATATTATCATACTAAAAATGTGTTGTATCGACACATTGACACTGGCTTTATTCAATATGAATCACACAATTGGTATAGAAAATAAGAAAAAAAAAGACTTACAACTTTCGCGTTAAACATTTACCTTGTAAACATTGTATAAATGAATTTATGATAAAATAATAAATATACAATAGATTCACATAATTTAAACGATAACGATATGTAATTAACATTTTACAATATGTATGAAAAATATATTTTTTAGTAGAGTTTTATTTTGTTGGATTATTCAAAATGCAAAAGAGTTTATTATGAAATACAATTGTCACCGCGAGTGCGACAAAACCAATTCGTTTAAATAGAGGTTTTTTTTTTTTTAACAATGGACCACTTAAATATCGATAACAACATTTAGCAATTTAACAGATAACAAAAAAAAAAAATTTGTTTAACTTACAAACGAGTGACTAAACTATGATTTGGCAGATAACGACAGACAGAGAAGACGATGTTGACCATCGACACGAATACAACAATTCAATTTACAGCTGCACACTAGGTGATTCTAGTTAATTGTTTTTCGTTAAATAATATTATCATTATTAAATATAATGGCACAGAGGTTAAAACATTTTTTTGGTAACGACGATATTACAATAATACAAAATTCAATAAATTACACAATAATATATAGTAGATATATTAGATATAGTAGAAAAAAAAGTATCATGGTTAGGCTTCATCGATCATTTCAAATAAATATTATAATTTCGACTCGGTTCGTAAACATAAGCTAACCACTTGCGTAAGTGTTGAAAATTGCTGAAAATAATAAAAATACAAATCGTACCGATGGCGACTGATACCGCGTTGTAATTCACACACACACACTGTCAACTTAAATTATCATTAGAAATATGTAACAAACGCGTAAATCATCGTTGTTGTTAAATGTATAATAAATAGCATATTTAAAACAATTGCATTGTCTTAAAAGTGTCACACTGAAGATATATAAAAAAAAATCATTAACTTACATACAATAACTACAAAATATACTCTTAACGGCTTGAGCGAAAGACACGTGAGCCCAGTTTTCAGTCTCTTCGGTGATATCGAACGTCGACGTCGGGAAAGTGCCTTCGGTGATGAATACTTCCAAATCGCTTTTCGGCAAGTCGTCTCGAGAGTGATTCTGCAACACGAAGCGAGAGAATACAACATTAAAAAATACAATAACCTTTTTTTACCACGTTTTTGATTATAAATTACATTTTCTACCTTAATCGTTTCATACGAATCAATTATAACTGACAGGAACAAGTTGATGACCACGTAGATGAACAAACTGATGAAGCAGTACAGGTACAGTCGGCTGAACCACCACAGCAGTGTGGACTTGGTCGCCATTATCGAGAACGTAGCATACATGTCGTCCCCGTTGATTAGAGAAAACAAACACTCCGAAGTACTCGCCAACGAACGGAACTTTAAATGAAAAAACAGAGTCACTCGTATTTTCAATACGTTAAGCAAGATACGAGAGACGATAAAATTGCTTTCGACGGGTAACAACGTACTTTCATGTGATATGGACCCAAAACTAACCAGCCGCAAAAAGTGAAGCCGGCATACAGTAGTATAGCACACAATAGAAATCTCGAAGTGTTTGGAAACGCTTGCCTCAACGTCAGTATTACGCCCTGAAAATACGTAAAGCTTTTGAGTGCATTTGAGTAGACAGATTTTTATCGACATCGTTATAAACGCGACGACACTTACGTTGTACGTTTTGAAGAACGTCAGATATCTCAGAACGCCGAACCACACCAATAGGTTGCCCGTTCCCAGTAGAACACTACACAAATTCCATTGATCGCCGATGAATTGCTGTAACAAAAAAAAATTCAAAATTAAAAGTTAGCGTAACAGTTGTGCACAAGTAAAATAATTCAATATCGGTCAATCGTGTGACTATTTTATTTTTCCAATACTTATATCATATTTTTTTTTCACGTTACCTTTGTTTCTATTTGTTCTTTTATACTGGAACCGCAAATGATCAGTATATCGTTGATTATGATCATGATGTACCATAAATTCCAAAACGCCCACCGTCCACTGCAACTCAACGTTGATTTTAACATTTCATCAAAGTACCTGATGGTTTCCTAAAATTAAAAAAAAAAAAAAAACCCTCATCAAACATGGAAAAAACACATTAGGAAATATTACCACTCACGTATTTTAGTAGTTGTGCCCTGAATATCGCTCTCGAACATAAAATCACTGATATGGTACACGTTATGATAACGAAATAGTTCAATAAGCTTCTGAAGAACGACTCCATTTTGTTGTCGGCTATAAAAATTTGGCGGACCAAATAAATAAATTATAATTTCAAAAAAGATTAGGTAAAAATTGAATTTAAAAAAAAATAAAACTCACTGATGTATTCAATGTCGCCTTTGCAGTTCAGTCGGAACGGGTTAACATCGAGACCGACTAGGACTTGACCGTCCATGTCTTCATTGTCCAAAGTGATCTGCAAATTATGTTGAATACGTATTAAACGTAACTCGTGAACGTGTGTGCTTTAAGAGAGATAATGGAAAAATATGTAAATATGGCGGCAATTATTAAATTATTATTTCAATGTATTTGCACAATTGTGACAAACTGCAAGTTAAGTAAATAGACCAAAATATATAACAACAGAGTTATTAAAACGTCGATAACCAACTCGTTATGTGAATTTTATGTACATACAAGTTTAATTTAATATTTTTATTTACTGGATCTCACTTGTATTTCAAATTTGTAACAATCCGGCGGCGAGAATTTCCCGGCCGCTCTAAAGTTGACAGTTTTTAGAGCGAATTTCAATTTCAGCTTGAGCAACGACGAAAAACTAATTGTCGCGTTATGATCTCTCAGATAGTTTTCTATGGAAAATCCATATTTTTTCACATTGTCTGTTATGGTGATGTTTAGGCATTCTAATTATGGGAAAACACAGACATTGAAATTATTGAAACGAAAAAATTGTCTTTGTAAACGCACAAACCTTGCACAATTTCTCCGTCAAAGGCGTAACTCTCGTTGAAACCAAATATCATACCCTCTTTGTAGTGAAGAGTGCACAACAACGGATACACTATTTTGTTGTCTTCGCTCATATACGAATATGAACCGATGGCGTTTTTGATATTGGCATACTACATGTAAATTAAACAGAACAAATCGTAGGTGAATTTTAAAAACTGGCTTCAGGGTTTGAAATTAACACGTGTCTCATCTACTAGGTACGGATTTGCCAGAGAAGCGATCACCCATCTTATTATATACTACTATTAATAGGTATACTCACACCGACAATGGCGTAATTGATTGTAGAATAAAATGATTTAACGTCGTAGATGGCGTATGGTCCCAGGGCGGGTGGATACGACACGACTTCTCGCGCCGCGTCCCAGTCTTTGAGGAACAAATGCGAAAAGGTAATTCTATTGCCCCACGTATAGTTCACGTGACTATAACGAGTGTGAGCAAACAACGAGAGCTGAAACGGCAAAAATGTAAAATATTTAAACTCGCATTAGGCACCTACTTGCGTTATGTAACTCACCTGTATAGTGACTAGTACGATTTTGATGACTTGAATGAGAAACTTGTAAGGAAATCGCCTCCTCGTTTTCCACTTCTCGATCGGATTCATAAAAAAAAATGCCAATCGATTGCGCATCCTCTTTTCTAGAAACACATACTCGTCCGAGTAAGGATGACTGTATTCCTCTTCGCCGCCCAACAATAAATCGCAGTCTAAAACAAAAACCAATAGAAATTATCACATGCTGAATAAGTTACGTAGATCTTTTACAATAGTGTTCAAAAAGGCAGTACGCTTACATATTATTATTGCTTGAGATATATTTAATAACTTAAGTGTAAGATTGTTGTGAAAATTTGTAAATGTATTTTTGATTAAATGCTGTTTCGCTAACACCTTAATCGTACCTGATGTTATTGGCAAAGAGTGTAAAACAATGTTTTTGGCTTAACTGATGAGAGTATATTCTGAAGTTAGTTATATTATTTGCCAACAAGATTGGAAAACTTGACTTTAAATCAAATAAAAATCGATTAGATAAAAAAAAAATCTTAACAGTCCAACTTAGATATAGCCACGTGTCAAACTTACATTGAACATTGGAAAGAGAACAAAAAAAATTGATTCGTTATGTCGAACACAAACCTCGAATAAAATATTTATCGAGTAGTGGTAATCATCAAAACCATAGTTTATTAAGCCTCTTCTACACTAGCAACACCGAACCACCAAACTGCATTGCAGCAAAATGTTTCAAGGCCCCAACCATAATCTAATTTCGGTATGTCGGCAAAACCTTTAATGTGTCGCTGTGTCACATTCGTGTTGCAGTTTGAGCTTCGGCTTGCTATTGCGGACGAGGTTTGAAAAAAAAAGGGCTAAGACGAATAGTATATGATTGCCGTACAACAAACGCGGGCGACTCGAGTTGGGTTCATTTTAGCTTTAGTAAACCGTTTACCTAACTAATTCTTTTTCTAATATGAAAACTTTTTTCTTTTTTTTTTAAACAAATGCTGTAATACATACCCGTGTCGGCGGTATAGGCGTTGGCGGTCGGATTATCTGACAAGTCGGTACCGTTTCGACGGTTTGGGCCCTTTGAACTGTCCATCGCGGGCAACTTACAGACAATCAAATAAAATATATTTTGCCTCCTCCAACTAGGAGTGGTGCGCCGTTAAATTCGGTTATTATTATTTACCATTTTACGGCGGGCAAACACAATCGAACCCTCGTGAAAATGCCGTACGTTATCGCTGTCGCCGCATTAATAGATTGTGGTGGCAATAATTTATCGCACATGCATCCGACAACAATGACATATTACCCAAAACCTAACAGATCGACAATTATTATTATTGTAACGCGCCATTGACGTTGGTCATCATAAAAGTGTACTACTGCAGTAATTTTTCAAAAGACGCAGATAACGTTATCACACAAACATGCGCGTTATCTCTCTTATCAGTTATGTGTTATCATTTTGAGCAATATCGACAAAATAATAGCATGCCGAACTGTTCTGGCTGTATACTTTTAACTAATTATTTGTTTTGCTTTTAAAACGAGTAAAAACTCGTCTAAATTACCTCCGAAGCTCTAAAATAACTGCAAATTGAACAAATTTAAAATTTGTTTTTCTTAATAGCCAAAACTAAGAACACGTTTTAATAAAAAATCACAGTCAACATAACTTTTCCTTTACTAGATACTAGTGCATTTAACATTTGCAAAGTACATACATTATGTCAACTGTTGTTTAAATAAAGCACTACCTACCATGTTTTATTATGAATTATGAAAAATAACAATACTCAATTTAATAATCAAAATGACATACAATACTATAGTAAACAATATAAATATACCAAGAACCAGAGCTTGAGCTCAACAGAACATTGTTCATAAAAACTCTTCCTCTTGTAATTCAACCACAGAATAGATTAAATAATATCCTACTGACTACTGTTTGATAATAATTTTAGTTTTTATAAGCATTTAATTTTTTTGGGGTTTTAATGCTACTTAACAAATTTATTTATTAGACTTATTAGAAAAACTATAAAAAAGTAAAAATAATAATGCTTATAAAAATTGTTTTAAAATAAAAATAAAAAATCGGCCTTTTCCCTTCATAGAATAGATATTTTATTTAAATATTTTAAATAATTATGTTTTTAAAGTTTAGCATAACTAGTTTTCCTACTGGCTTGTAATATTGTATTTAATGTTTAGTAAAGATTTATACAAGGTACTTGAACTCCAACGCTAAAATAATTTTTTTCTACTTTTGGTAAGGGATGGTCTAAATAGTGTTCAATGAGCATCGAAATGTCGTTTTTGGAGAGTCTACAGCATAGTTTGTTAAAATTGAAATCACTAAGCTCAAACGGGTTACATTATTTTATTTCTTAAAATAAATTTATGGAGAGTAAAAGCACACGATCTTCTATTTCATCTAACAACGCCTTTGCTAAAAACGCCATAATCAACAATATTATAAACTATAAAATTAAAGAACGACTAAATAGCATAATATATTTTGTATTATCAAATTGTTTAGGCCAAATCAAAATATCACATTTAGTCATTTCGATTACGGTGGTACTAAACCATTTTTAGTTCAGGACACATAGAGAATTGCAAAAATGATGAGTGACTAAATTGAATGTTCGTGCCTACTGTTGACCTCGAAACACAATAAAATTTAACCAAAAGCGATTAAATATTGTGTTTAGATACCGTTGTTATATTGTTGATATCATCCAATTGACGGTATGGCATGAACACAAATAAGATCCAACTTAATCTATTCAGTGTTGACGGGCCTTTCCTTTGTAGTCTAATCAGCGCATGTAAACTATAGTAGTGACTTTTGTATGGTCCAATATTATTTATTATATTGTTATTACCTATTATTGTTATATAGGATGTGAAAACAACTTGATCACTCGGCTCGCTAAATAAGTGGTAACACAATAATATGACCTCTGGAATGACCCCTTGACAATATTACATTTTTATGCTTGTTGAAATCATACTAACTTATAAAGGTCTTAAAATACACCGAGTTGTAGGTAACGTACAGTCTTAAAACGGACATTTTTTTGATTATTTATTAAAGAAATTAATTACAAAAATGGAGAATAGGGATGGGGATGTTAATTTTTTTAAAAAATTGACTCGGTTCTTCAACGAGACATGAAAATGCTCTTTCGTGGTTGCAGACTAGTCTGAAAAATGCTTTTTAAAAAAAAGGTAACTTTCGTTTTTTCTAGCTGTGTGCCAACGTTAAGTCATAAAAATGGAAATTCTATGAAATGGTTTTCTCAATTTTAGTTATTTATTCAGAATTACATAATGTGTTCACAAGAGTTAAAAGAATTAGAGGTTTTTTTAGAAGAAGAGTTGTGCTAACAATATGTTCCCACGCCACAGATATGATCACAGTTTGATCATAAACTTGTGGTGAAAATTTCAATTTTGTTTTGTTTTGTCTTTTATTTCTGTTTATTTGTTGTGATATTGTAAAACTACAACAATTCTATCAACTCATAACTAGAGCTCGGATGTTAATGACCAAAAATTCATTTAAATATGCTTTTGAAAATGCCAAAATAACCAATTAAATGCTTTTATTAAAATGTAAAATAAAACAGTTTTTTAAATGGCTGACTTAGCACAATGCCACAATACATTATACCCTCAACTATTTTAACCCAGTTTTCTGAAAAATTTCAGCTTAAAAAATGAATAGGGCCACTATTGTCTATTGACACAGTGGTTAAAACTGACACTCTACCCTATTCCATATTCTACATAATATCAATAACTAAATGGTATAACTTCAAATATTTTATTATTACCTGTCGGCTGTCGATTAGTTCTGATAGACGATACTACTCTATGAAAGTCCAAGTAAAAATGAAGGCTTATAAAACAGCTGCACTCCAATAACTATTCAGTAGGGATTATAGTTAACGCGTTCATACCTACATTATAAATATAAACTTGTGACACAAAAAAAAAACACATCATAATAAAACCAAAACAATCCACCGATAACACTGTATTTTTTTTTAGGAAAAGACACACAAACACGAGCGTAAATATTATATATATATATATAAACCTAGATTGCAAAAACACTCGAAATGTATTGATAAAAAAAAAAATTTGGTGACAACGACATAACAATCATTTATTTAGGAAACATTTATCTTTCTGCCCGCTCTTTGGTAACGCCAGACCGCAGACGAGAATTTAAATAACTATATACCTATATACGTTATGGATTGAATCAAGTATAATAATTTTAACTGTAGACACAAGACTGAGTTGAGCTTAGCTGTGTATCTAACATGTTTTTGGGCAACATTTTTTTTTAACATGCAAAATGTATATGATAAACTTTTATTTTTCAAAACCCTTTTTATCATGACTACGTGTTATGTGTTGCATGTTGTTTTTTAGATTAAACTTTCCGCATGAATATATGACTATTGGAACATTTGCCGGATACATATTTTTCACCTTTATACCCACTCTAATACCTATCGCCTGGCTACACGTATAGATACAAAAATTAATAAACAACAATGCAGTCACCGTGGATTTTTTATTTCTGAACGTATTGTGCAATTTGCGTGAGATCATCGCGAAATCGTCAGTAATTTTGAACATATTTCCTACCGCCGGGTATGTCTGTAGATGATGTAAGTTTAATCATATTTACCACCGCCCTTAGCACCCGGGCACGCTATAAATCCGCCGCTTAAGATGTATCAGATTAATTGTGGAAACTTACCTTTGAACATTATGTACCACCAATTATGTTATAATTGCATTCGTCCGGCTGTAATGTATTGTCTCTCGACACAGGTAGTGCCGTGCAACTTCAAAGCGAACCAGTGCGAAGAAGAAAACCGGGTCATCAAAAACGAATTGCTATGTCTTCGGCGTTGGATCGATTCGTTCAAGGTGGAACAGAAACAACTGACCGAACGCTTGTTACGTGGTTACTATAAAATGCTCGAGCTGTACAAATGTTATAAAAACGACAACGAGTGTTTGGCCAACGAAAAGCTGATCGACACCCTGACGGTGCGGCGTTTAAAAGACAAGGTGGAAATGTTGGTCAAATGCGACCAGACGACCATGTCCAACAAAAAGTGTGACGACATACTTACTTTAAACGACCTGGTAGCGTTGATTGAAGTGAGCCTGATGAAAAATATAATGATTCTAGTTCAATAGCTTCTCGATACCATTTCTCTTCTTAGCCTTTAAAGTTTTGACATGAACATGTAGCTTTTACCTGGGACGAAAATTTGCAGCTGATTACGGATGCTGATAAGACTCAGCTGTTAAAGGATTAGTGATAAGAGATAGCAGATAATAGCTCCTAAATATAATGATAACTGGAAGGGAGGAAGGCATAGGGAGGGATGAGGCGCGAATCTGAACATAAACCTCCTTATAAGTACCATTTCCTTCAAGGGAATCTGTAAGCAATGTGTTCCACGCTGTTGATTACAGGTGTACCAAGGCAATGTGACACACTCTTAGTTTAGGTCGGTCGGTATGTATAGCGTGGCGTTTGGTTACAGGCTTACGTGGAGTCGTTCAGCGAGGAACACCAAGCCGTCATAGATGAGCGGAACAGATTCCGTCAGTTGGCCGACGAACGGAAGAACATGTTGCACGAGCGGAACACTGCGCTCGCGGAAGTGGAAAAGCGGTTGGCCGCGTTCGGCGACATGGACGCCACTGTTCGCAGATACCAGGACGACTTGGCCGACGCGCAGGCCCAACTGGCGGACCGCGACGACATCGAATCGGAGCTGCGGCTGTCCATCGAGCGGCTGACTGGCGAATCGAACCGGTTGCAGCGGGCTTTGGCCGACGAGCGGGCGAACAACGCGCGCAATCAAGAGTCCATGGACCGGCTGTTGGCGAACATGGCCGAAGCGAACGCTAATCACGCGGCCGAAAAGCACAGGGCCGACGACCGCACGGACCGTCTGCAGGCGGACAACGAGAGGCTGCAGGTGAAGAAGGCGGCTGCGGAAACTGTGGTCCAGCAGCAGATGGACCTGTTGTTCAGGGCCGTCGAAACCATCAAGACGTTGAAGGCCGAACGCGAAAAACTGTTGTGGACGCTCGAGCAGAACATGCAGTGCGCCGGAGAAGCCAGCGACCGGGGCCGCGCACTGCAGGACAGCAGCTGTTCGTTCAGCGGCTGCACCGGCTGCAGGCCACGTACCGCCGCGGGCGACGCCAAAGTCACGGTCAGCCGCAAGGCCATCGAAGACACTCTGAAGAAGTTCGAACGGTACGCGCGAGAGTTCAACGAAGTGGCCGACGACGCGGTGACGACGTCCGAAGACGAACGGCCCACCATTATGGAGATTTGCGAAGATTAATCGACCGGTTTGTGTGGATACAAAATGTCCGTACTTGTGCAAGCCGTTTTAAATGGTCACGTTAACAAATACAAAACAATGATCTTAAATCGAACATGGTGCACTTTATCGATTTAAAACTTTAAATGACTTCCGGCATTATAATTTTCAGCATAATATTAAAGACTATAATAAACATTGGTGTAACTAGAGAGGTGCTAGGAAAATTAAAATCCTTTTAATAATCATCTGGCTTTAATAATATGCCAACAACCATTAAAAGGCACAGCTCTCAAATAACGTTTATTAATACCAAAATTATAGCAAAAATACATTATAAAGAATAAAATAAAACTGAAAATGGTAGAGTAATATAATAAAATTGTAAAGAATGCAATCAACGTCCATATGACTGTTGTTAAGAGTTAGTCGAGCGAATACAACAAAACTAAGAGTATATTGTTCTTGATTTCCTTCAAGAAATTGAGTACAATCTAAATTTGTAATTTTTTTTAAACTAAAATAAAACTTTTATAAGTACATTTTTTGTTAGTAATTTCATAGAATAATCCTTTTATTAAGTACCAACTGATTAAAATATTAAGTACCTTTGTACAAGTATGTTATTCAATTAACTGTGTCTGTCTGGCAACTCGTATACAAAAATGAGCAGTTTGTTTCAAATAAAGTTGTGTATTTAATTTTAGGAAATAATTTTTTTTTCTACACATACAAATTATTTTTTTTTAACTTTATAAATTATTTCATTCGGTTATATTGTCAGGTTTTCCAAGTTTTTTTCTGATATATATATGAATGTGCTTTGTAGGGAAAAACGATTTCGTTTTATAAGCATTTTTAAGAAAAAACGGTTATTAGACATATTTTGTTTAAGACCTTAAGTTAAATATGGGTTATTAATTACAAACATTTATAATAATAATGGCTGTTCTCGTCAGTTTTTAGAAGGCTTTAAATTATTTTTTGTTACCGTTTGGAACGAAGGGAATTATTACCAACTGTCTATTTTAAGGCGTTTTTTCAGGCAATACTACAAACACACAAGAAAGCAGCGGTGGGGCTGAAAGGTTCAGATTTATGATTTCAGATTTTTTTTGAATTTTTCTTGATTTTGCATTGAAAGAAGTGCATTTTTTAACTTTTTATTCAATAAATTACCTTTCAGGTACGATTTCTGATCTATAAAGTTGCTACATGAATGGAAATCGGTTCAGGGAGGTGTAGAAAAATGTTGTGTCCATACACATAACAAAGTAGAAAATAAAAACATATCATTGTAAAGTTAAAATAATTTTATTGTGATACCTCTGTTATTTTCGATAATAATAATTTTCTTATAAAACCAAAATATTTATAAAATAATAGTATAGATCTTTATTTATAAGCAAAAACAATATGAATTATACAATTTGGAGTATCCCTAAAAATATGCATTGCAATTTTGTATTCCTATTTTGTGTAATTTTCAAATCTTGTTAATTTTTTTACATAAGTAAACAAAATCGTTAAAAAAAAGACATGTACTTTTTTTATAAGTTACAATGAAAAATAATTTAAAGATAAATATTTTCGTGAAACACATAATTATGTATACAGTTTACAATTTCTTTAATTTTCCTAGAAAGACAGTAGGTAGGCAGGCATAATATTCAGCTTAAACGTTATAATTGAATTCAATTGATGTAAATACAGTTATCCAAAAAAAATCAAGATAATATAATTGCTTATTAAATACTAATTTAATCGGGTAATTTGTGATACGACACCAAAGATAGGCATTTTATATTCCATTATTCAATCATCAAACGAACAAAAAAAAAAAATGGCAGAAGGAAAGCAAAGGCGCAATCTGTGCTTTCTTCATTAACTTGTCGATCACTTGGTGCGAACCGACTTCGAACGGGTCGATACCAAGTTCAGCGATGCATTAATTTCTTCAATCGCGTTGGCTATCAATTCTTCGTAATCCTTTAATCTAAGAAAACACATAATATCGATTGGTACGATTTACCAGCAGACCAGAAGTGTTTTGCTATTACCTTTTGACAAGCGACACGTTGCCGGTCTTTCCGTCGGTACCGTCTTTGTTTCCTTAAAAAAAAAACACACAAAATTATTAACACAGACCTGGTATTGCGTTGTTGGACTTGAGTATATTTACCAAACGATTTCAGCTTCTTGGACAAGTCGTTGAATATCTGCTTGGCCTCGTCTTCGTGCACAGTTTTCTGAGGTTCGATGTCGAATCGTTTCAGCAGAGCTTCCGCTTCCTGGTCGGAGAAATTGCAACTGGAACAAGGAAAGTAAGCAACAACACGAGCCCCCACTTGCGGTTCAATGGTGTGACCATTAAGCCGGTTACCGTTTTAGCAGACTGCGAGCCTCGCGATAGCTGATGTAGTTATGCTTATACTTCATCCTGTCGTCCTTGCGCTTTTCCGCCCATTTGCCGAAGCCAATGCGCCTCAGCAGACCGTCTTCGCGAGCCTGGTCCCAGACGAAATGCTTCCGGTCGCCAATGAGTTCTTCCACGTCCAAATTGAGATAGGCGTGCGACACGATCGCCACCAACATGATCTGCGCAATTTGTGAGTGAATTTTTAGCTCTTTTGGCTATTCGTTTGGCTATTCACCAGAAGAATGTAAATCACGACGAACGTCAACAGGATGAAGAACATGACCATTAGCTTTTCGTCAATGAGCTCGATGGTGCGGAATTCAAAATCTCTCATCAGTATTTTCATGGCCGACTCGAAGGCGGATCCCGGTGTGGAAAACGATTGGACCTGCGACGATAAATGATAATATTTGTCGTTAGCAAAATGGCATTTCACAGTTTTGTCGATTTGAACTTCTCGCCTGTGCACCGAACGCGCAGTATCCTAACGCGGCGAACGAAGACACCACGATGAAAACGAACACCAGGTAGCCGGACAAGACGTTGAAACACTACAAAGACAAGAAGGAAGGGATTGTGATCGACAAAGGTCGTTGGATCTAAGGCCGCTGCTCGTTCGTACCCTGTCCATGCTCAAGTATATGATGGTCGTGTATTTGGTCAGGTCGGAGTACTTGATGATCTTGATGCAAGCCACGAAGAACAAGTAGGACACCATCAACATGAGCGTCACGTGTCTGTCTACCAAGTCGCTGAAAAACCTGTAGCCCTCGCCGGATGCCGCGGTACTCTTGATTTTCGATTTGCTTTCCGTTATCAATATCAACCCGATCATGTACGTGCAAAACCATCCTTGCTGCCGTTTTGACAACCAACACAACCCAGTAGTTGTACTCGATGGCCAGTGTATTAATATTGTAATATCGAGTCGATTAGCATTGCACTCACGCATATTATGCTCAAATCTATCAGGTTCCAGAACACGGTGAAGTAGCCAAGTCGGAAGTACGCCAATTCGAACAGCTCCGCCACGGTGTAGTAGACAAAGAACACCAAGACGGCCGTCAGGGCTGCGATCACGATCAACGAGTCGGCCACTATGTAGTTGTAGACTTGAGCGGTTTTCACGTGAGACGTAGCTATGATGTTGCCCGCCGCCGGACATTCCAATATTAGTCTGCACAAAGTATACAGGTTAGGTGCGATTGCCTCCCATTCGAAGCGTCATGGAGTTTCTTACTTGACGGTGGAAACGATTTTGTTGATTTCGTTGTAAATGGCAAAATCGACAAAAATTGCTCTCGTGCCACGATCCACCCACGACTTGTCCTGAAGGTTTTTCAACAACGATATGGCCTCGTTTTTACTTTTCGGGAAGTCGAAGTAATAGCCACCGCCTCCGTAGTTGGAGATTTTTCCACGGTGTTTTGTAGCCTGAGTTACTTCGTCGGTCGAATAATTCCATCTGCGTACACAATACACGTCATACAGCAACTGTTTATAACGTCATTACAGTATAGTCAACACAAATATATATATTCTCCAGTATGGCTTACTTTTCGCTGCCAAAGTTACTTTTATCTTCAGTGTCTATCGTGTACGGTGCATAACAAGTGTCGAAAAAATAGTTTATTCTTTTGCCGTCTCGACAGGGTTGCCCTTTTACTCGAACCTTTGTGACAAAGTCAAAATATAGTATTATCAATCGAGTATCGTACAATTGCCATGCCAGGCAGGAATTTTAACTCAAACTAATAAGGATCGCGTTTGATTAATCAGATGGCCTGACATGGTCTCGCTACTGTCTGACTTCAAGTGGAGAATGTACCTGTCTGATTCTGGGCGCGTAAAGCAGTCTATTATTTAAGACACCACTGGTAGATTTGTCGTCGATAGTCTTACCGCCGTAAATTCCGTACAGTTTTTCGCACAGCACGTTTTCGCAATACTAAAATGTATAACATAACATGTAGCGTATTCAGAGGAAGATCTGAGGGGGGGGGGGGGTTATAGCCCTCTTTCCCTTAATAAAATCCTGCCTTCCAAAAATGTGTTCTGGTGTAAATGTTGTGGTAGTTCAAAGCCGGACTTTCGAGCGTCAACTGAAACTGGGTGCCCAGAAACAATAAGGAAATTTCATCGTCGACGGCGAGCACCTTGTACGCGTACATGCCGGAACAGGCTATTGGAAAGATCGGATGTCGTGTGTCTTAGAGCCGTCACACCGAATGCGGTTTCTATTACTTACAGACGATGAGCAACACGAAGAACAAAATGTACCAGAACAGCTCTTTGATCGAACAGTCGACGTACATATTCCGGTCGTCCAGGTCGATAGCGATTTGACGCGTAGGGAATTTGACTAAAATCAAAAATTCGTATACAGCACAATCTACCAACGAGGGGGGGGGGAGAAAGAGGGGTAGGTCCTAATTTAGTTAGAGTAATAGAGCTGTGCCTACCTTTGGGCGTTCGGTCGTCGGTTCGGGCATCATGCTGTGACTCGTGTGCTCTACGACGGCGAACGCTGGGTTCTGACATTTTATCCGAAATAACAAATTAACACTGTATCGGTAAAAACACATTTTATTATACACCAAACTCGTGTTGTCACGCGAATAATATCATATGTTCAAAATAGCATTAAACCAGTCTCATATTTTGTATCATGTATATAAAAACAACGAAAATAGATACGCGCGAAAACGGAGAGAGACATTGTCCGTAAGCTTGTAATTTTGTTCTCCACACTAGACACAATTACTATTGCAAGGCAGCGCAGCTTTTTCTTTTCAACCGACTTTTTCCGTGAAAGCCGTGACCCGAGCAAAAGCGTACGCCGACAACACGTCCACGGCTTGCTTGGCCTCCAAGTAGTTGGTCATCTCTTCGATCCACTCGTCGGCGATTATCCTGGCACCGCCGTCCAGCAGGTTCATGTACTTGAGGGCGTTCAAGAAATCGTTTTTCCGCATCCAATACCGGGCCCTCTGCAGTATGTCGAACGTGTTCATCTTGCTGACGTCGACCGGAGCGTCTTGGATTTCGGCTTTGGGTATGGCTTTCGGCTCTTTGTGAACGAAGAAGCTCAACAAGTGCGACAAAGCCACGTCCAGCAGACCGGGCTCCGCGGTGTTGACCAAGCCCATGTTGTGGGCTTTCTGCGCGACCGTGTGAAACCGGCTGACCAACACTTCCTTGGGGAACGCACCGCGGTCGATCACCCGCACGGGTATGGTGTCCAAAATGTCTGAGATCACCGGCATCCCTTTGCTGGCTTTTCTCACCGCTTCCACCGGGTGCTTAAGAGGTTTCAGATGCTTTTCGTTGGCCATGGCCGGCTCGTACATGTTGAAAGCCGAGTTCAGCGACTGGCACACCGTCCACAGCTCCAGGTACTTGGCCACCTCTTGCTCGCTGGCGGCGCGGTCCTTTAGCGCGTCGTCGATCCCGTTCAACTTGGCGTTCATGGTGGCCACTTTCTCCAGGAACTCTAACCTGTTCCTCTCGGAACGCTCGGAAAACATCATTCGCACGTCCCTCTCGGCGTCTCTCTCGGCCTTGCTGATGTCGTCTTCCACCTGCGACAGGTGCTTTTCCCTCAGCGCTTTGCTTTTCTGGCAGACGTCCGATTCGCACTTGACGTTGGCCAAGTACTCCTCTTTCATCAGGTCGTCCGTGAGTTTTCGCTTCAGGTTGGCCATTTGCACGTCCACGGCTTTTTCCACGCCAACCGGCGGGTCGGTCCGCAGGGATTCTACGGCCGATTTTAAATCGTGCGCTTCCACCGTCTAAAAAAAACAGAAGCAACCGCACAAAATCACACACTTGAAACGCCGACCAAATAATACTTGTGTGCATACTTCCGCCTTGACCAGTTCCATTTGGTTGTAAAACATTTTGCGCACCACGTACGCGACCAACTGATCCAATTCCTGTTGACAGACTTGCAAATCTCGTCCTTTCAAATCGATGGCGGGCGATAGCTTTTCGATTTCTTCCTTGAAGTACTGCCTGGCGTCGATCACTCTGTCCATGGCCCTGTTGAATACCGACAGCTTTTTCATTTCTTCGTCGTACTCGGACCGGACGCGGTCGATGTCTTCGAGGGTCTGCTGCATGTTTCGTTTTACCCAGTCGATTTTCGATTGCTCCAACTTGGCGCTGTTCACCATCAACAGCACTTGCATGTCTTTGATCGCTTTCACCGTCCGCTTGCCGGATTCCATGGCTTGCTGGACGTACCGTTCGCGGTCGGTTCCTTTGTTTTTCAACTTCACCAATGTATTATGCGGCACGTTCGTCATCGATTCGCCCACCAAATCGTACACAACGCTGTAATAGTCCCGCAAAGAACACAGCGCGTTCGTGTAAGACCCTATGGTCGACGTGGCCAACTCTCCGATGGTCTTTTCGGCGTCCATCAGACTTGCGGGTACCGTTTGTTCGCGCTTTAGTTTGTTTTCCGTTTTCAGGTTGGGCGCTTCTTTAATTTCCTGGTAATCTTTCGTTTCATTCTTGTCGAACACTCGGCGTGGAGCTGCGAAACAATAAAAATGTAATAAAAAAAAACCACTAGTGGTTGCTCTTAAGCCGCTAAACCGTTTTTTGTTCACGTATCAAGTCTTCAAATTGTGTATTTTGTACATATTTTACACACTCACGTTGATAGCTAGCCGTTTCTTCGCACTGTTTTTGCGTGGCACTTCGCTTCTTCTGGGTGCCGAACATTTCGTATAAAAAGTTGAGAAATCTGTAAAGACAAATCATAATGGTAATGGTTCACACGCGTTGCGCGGAATCTACTCGTTTCTTTAAGTACTTGTCCCGTTGTCTTGCGGTGAACTCGTAAAAGTACTCGTCGTACGTCTGGTCTTCTTGCCAAAAAAATTTGATCGTGTCGTCTATTATTTGGCATTTATTTTTCAAAAACTCCCTGAGTTCTTCGTCTTGCCTGATATAAGCCAGGGAACCTCCAAACCACAGCAGAGCGCCGGTGGTGTATTTCAACGTACGGTACTGGCTGAAATAACAACAAAATACACACCTTGACAATAATAATAATTATTATCGCAAGTTTTAATCATTGGAGACGTCATGATGGGTGTCTCGAAGACGCAAACCGTACCCTGTAGTGTGCTGGGGGTTTGAATGGGCCAACCTCATTCGATAACTCTTAACGCTTCTAGCAGTCATCAAAACGCCAGTCTATAAAATAAAAGTGCATACTAGTCACATTATAGAATTATAAAGTGAACATTGCACTTCTGAAATTATACTACTCAAGATAGCTTTATTTGAGTTTTGACAACTCGAGGCAGTATTGGAAAAAAAAACACAGCCATGTTTTAATGTACACATTCATTTTCGTTTATTTTAACAAACCCAAAAATAAAGGTGTCAAATAAGTATGTACAGAAAATCTCTTTTTTATTAATTGCCATTTGTATTGTTTTTTAAATCTAATTTAGTATTTTTTAATAAAATAATAATATGCTGCATCGTCTGCCACAGTTGAGCTACAATTATCAAGTCTTGAGACAAGAATTCGTACAAGTTTCAATTATTATATGTAATTTACAATGTAAAAATCCTACTATGTACACTAAAAATTACCTATGCAGACTTTAAAGTATAGAATTATCAATTGAACGCAAAATCTTTCAGATAAAATAAAAACTAATTGGTATTTGAAAGAGTATTTCAAGTAGGACAATCCAAAGAATTCAATAAAAAATAGAAACAAAAACAAGTAAAAAAGATGTTTTTCTCAATAGAGATCTATTGTTCAGATGAGTATATCATTTAACCAAATAGTTAAATTTAACTATATATTTTTTAGCAAATGTACCAAATTGAATTACTTACAAATAGTACTTATAGATACCTGTGTATTGTGTACTTTACTTGGGTTAATTTTCAAAATACTTACTTTAGCCAATGTTCTGCTAAAACTCATTTTGACGAACGTTCTTATAAAAAAGTGATTATTTTATCCACAACCTTTTGATTTTGATTTTAAAATTTTGCTTATTGACAATCAACAGGCAACACATATTAAAACTATGATAATAATAATAATAATAAAATTTGGCCAGAAAATTTCAGACATCAATCATAATTTCGTAGCAATTTTATTTGTGTATGTAGGCTTTATGGCCCCACCAACAATTTTTAGTTTTACATAGGTAATAGGTTTATTATAAAAAGTTGTTAAATAAAACTCTTATTACCGTTAATTATCATCGTGAAATAAATAGCTCACCAAATGTATTATGTTAACTCATTTTTAGAGCCACAACGGAAACTAATGCTTAATAAATTATGTGTTGCAAAATAGAAAAACGCACAGACGTTGTATATTTTAATAATTAATATGCCAACACTTTGGCTCATTTTTTTTCAACTAGTTACTTCATGACTTAAACACCAGAATAAGTTTGGAAAAATTGGGATTGAGACTAGGTACAGTTTAATAAGTAATAACAACAAGCTGTTGTGCAAATAACATTATATTTACCTAAATTTATGTCAAGTTTAGTCTGAAACAAAATAATGTGAAACTTAGTTATAACAGTATATTAACTTTGGTTATTACAACAGCTAAGGCTTTATCGCATGAACAAATTCAACTGGACATTTGAGATGATCAACAATTGAATAAAATATATATTATATAAACTACATATTTAAATGAAACAAACTGTTCCTAAATAACTTCGAAACAAAATTCCTTAATTAGTTTAATTGAAGACATTTTTGGTATTAATATTTATAGTTTTGTGCTCGTAACATTATTTTACGTGTGCCTTAAAATTATGTATTACAACTTTTAAACTAACGCGACGACCGCACTACTACTTAATGTATTGAAACAATTTTTTTTTTTTTTTTTAACAATATGATAAACTTATTTTTATGGTTTTAATAATTTACCGTGCTTACAGGCAACGCTACTTAAATACTACAATAATTTTTGTGTATTAGATATTTTACTATTTAAAACATTTAAATGCTATATTTTATTTTCAAACGACTGTTACTTATAGATTTCATTGGTTTTATACAGTAGTAAATATTTTGTTTAAATATGAAGCTATTTAAATATAATTTGACATACTAAAAAAAAAAAACTAATTAATTTAAAACATATTTTTATGTGTGAAATATCATAACTTTAAATTTTTTAAATACCAAATAATATTATTATCTAAACTTGACGAAAATATGATTAATTACGAGTAGGTAATATTATTATTATCAGAATACTTTTCGTTTAAATCCTTATCAAAATTTATTTTATTAAAACATTTTAAAGAGTTTGAGATTGAATAGAGTATAAAATCTATTGGCAAAATCGTTATCACTTGTTGCTTGTAAGAAAATCAAAGAAAACCCTTCTTGAAAACTAATTGAATCACCAATTTTAGAAGATTAATTTTTATTTCATCACAGTTTTAGCATAATATGATCTGTATCTTTATAGACTAACCCTAAGTGCTATTTCAAAACTATTTATAATAATATAGTAATAATACTATTTCAAAAAACGTATTGTAGGTAACATATTATTATTATTTATGTTTAAAGTAAGACTCCTAAGTCGTTGTGCAAATGTGAATCAATTGTAGTGCTCGTCGTTTCATATAATAGGTAACTGTGACTTACGGTGCACATAATATTAATATAACGGAAAAAAAAGTGTCATAGTTACGCATTATTTTCTAATGTAAATCTATGTGTACAATAGATGATTCTAATTTTCTCCTACAAGTATTTATAAAATTAAGAACCGCTATTGAACAAATGTATATTGTTGAAATATTGGGTAATAATATTATTGGTATACGCAAATTGTTTTACTCTACTCTGATATGTAGTGAGTGATGTTTGATCAAAACTGGCCACAGTTAAGCCTAATGTTGTCGTATGCCTTCGACTGGACCAGTGTTGACCGTGAGATTGATAATGCGATACTAGAGATCGCGTGCTACTATTATCCTATAAATTATATCGTAGTATGTGATGAATCCAGTAGAACAACAATCGATGACCGTATCCGCCTTAAAGGTAATCTCCGGTTTCATAATGCTGGACAAGCGATGCTTCCAGCGGGTAAACGTTGACTTTGGAAACCAGCTGCAACACGCGATTGTCTTTGACGGTAAATTTACTGGGAGTGTTGTCCAATTGGAACGTAGACAAAACCGTAACGAGCTCTTGGTAACCTTTGTTGTCCATGTCCATTAATTCCACTGAAACAATTGTAAGGCGTAAGAATTTTAAATGTCTACGGTCAGTTATATATTTTCACTCACTGGAGTGTTTTTGATATTCCAACTTCGGTTGACAGTTTGAATCTTTTTCGCACACTTGTAAAATTTTCTTGGAACTCAATTCTTTCACGTTCACGTCTCTAGTACAGTTATAGAAAATCAACAAAGTTTTCTCTTCGATGTGCACAATTTTTTCAGCGTTAACATAGTGATCGTTATTGTTCTGAAAAAAAAAAAGAAGTAGGTTATTGTAATAGTCTAATCATTTTTATGTAAACGGTCTATTGAGTGACTCGGCCCGATCTGTGTTACCTTTTCGGAAGACCATATCCATAATTTGATGACGAAACCGGATATATTGTTTCGTAGATCAAATGTCACTGGACTCATTGCGTAGGAATTGTTGTAATGTTTTGACCAAACCGCATCGCCACTGCTGTTTGTCACGTTCATGATAACTTTGCATTGGGTAGGGCAGTCATAATGGCTGTTTATAATGTTCAAACGAAAGTGACCTGCAACCACTGAGTATTGGTTTTCATCAATCGGATGGTGATGGTGTTTTGGGAAATCATCGGTATCTTCGGGTACCCAATCTGGGGTGCAGTTCAACATTTCCTTTAACGGAAGATTCTCAATGCTATCTGTAAACAATCATTTCATACACAAATATATTAATCATCCCCGTGAACAGCTACGACACAACTCTGCCATAGTTATAAGTGAAGAGGATAGGATAAAAAATTGGTTCGACTATTCGGAGTGAAGCGCAACAATGGTTGTTAATGAAACGATTTAACTCTCACCTGTTCCGACACTTTTATGGCATATGAACACTAGAGACATGTCGTGGCCCAAAACGAGATCGGACATCTTGGTACAATTGTCGTTGTTGAAATTATTTATCATCGGCCTGCCGTTTTTGCCAGATACGATAAGTAATGTCGGAATGTCGTTTATGTGCTGGAATAAAGCCATTTCGTTCACGCCGTCCTTATTGCAGTCGGGCACAATAACTGGAAATTCTATGTACACTATGTCTTTTTTACTGTAAAACTTGGTGGTGTTTGTTTCCATCTGACCCTTAGTGTGTTTCCAAATGAGTTCCCCTTAAATAAAAATACCGAAATTCAATAACACGTTTAAATATTAATTCTTCGCCATAACAGAGATCGAAAAACAATTTCAATATATTATGATAATTTTTTTGGCCAAAAATTGAATGTCTTACAAATATCGCTTTCAAAGTATTTAAATATTTTTGTCATATAGGAAATTGAGCATTTAGTTTTTAATGTAATGTATAGAATTTTTTTTAATTACAAGTTAAAACAATATTTTGTGGCTTTGTCTCTAAAGCTAGGCAACAAACTAATTTTGTTAACACAAAGTAATGCCAATTTTGTAGCGATAATAATTAAATAAAGCATAATAATTTTTAAAAAAAGCATAAGAATTTACCTTTATGCAGACCGCTAGATACAACTGCCAACAAGTTGCCAGCTGTGGCTCCGACTATGCAAAATACATCACTGTCTTCTCTGTGGTACTCATTCAGCAATGTGCAATCGACTTTATCGGGGAGCGGATCCAAGCGTTTACGCCACATCTCTTTGCCAGTAAGCGTGTCCAGCTGCAACAAACCACCTCCGCCTGATGGAAATCTCTCCGTTCTGGGCGGCACAGTCTGACTGTTCAAAATTGACCCCTGCACTATGAACACCAATCTTTTGATTTTTTTGTCCAACTCGATCACACTCGGTTTGCCTTTCAATTCTAACAACGGGAATTTAGATTATCATATGAAATGTATCATATTATAAAAAAAAAAATAGTCAGAATTACATACCGATATCCGTGAAAACCGATTCAGTCCATAGCGGCTGGCCTTCCTTCAATTTCGTGGACTTGATACAGCTGGACCACTCGCACGGTATAACAAACAATACGACAACGACGAGTGCAAAGCACATAAAAATCGTTACGATAAACAATACCAAACGAGTTTTCGACATCAAGTGCAAGGCGTACAATATCTCATCAACTACAGTGTTTCCAGCGGGAACGACGTTCGTCCTGGGTTCACTAGGTTCAGGAGTAGCCAACTGAAAGGTATCTGTACATAAAAATATTCAAAATATTCATAATAAAACAAGTTTGAGTCTAGATAAAAATTATATTCTATCATAACTTACAAAATTCTAAATCTAATATTAAAAAGGGAATAAAATATTAATTGTACTTTTTTTTATATCACTTTTAGAATTATTCTTTGAAATGTATAAGTGATTGCAATAATTTAACACAAAATAAGTTTGGGTTTTAATTAATCTCTAGTTAATAGTGTACTCCAAAGTACCGCAAAGGATTGCGGCAATGCAAACCCAAGTTTGTTTAAAAACCAAAATTTTGTTATTAAAAACTAATACGTTAGAAATAATTTTAATTGCGTTCTTTGTTGTTATAAATATTAATATATTAAAATGTCTAAAAAAATTTAAGTACAACAATTTCTATTCATATTCAATGTCAATGTCTTAATATTGTATATAATTTTTAAGCCCCTAACTAAATACAATACTAAAATAAAAAATTAACATAATTTCAAAACATTTTTAACTTTGATTAAAAATTACAATTTAGTTTGACAATTACATTTTATTATTAACGGTATTTCTTGTAAAACTATTTATCTGAAAAACATGAAAGTTTACTGGACATACCTATTAAAAATGATTATATTTTACAATTTATATTGTTTTTTAAATGTTTTCTTAAAACAGTTATTTTATTAGAATAAAAATAATAGCATGCATTTGATTTACTCTACTTTCAATCTAATATTTTAATTTGCTATTCTAAACTATGCTAGCAGTAAAGTAAAGCTACAACAAACATGTTAACATCAATCATTCGCTAAGTTGATTATTGAATTGCTGTTCATGACTACAAAACAAATTTTGTGGATTCAGCTAGAGAGATGAGGGTAAATGGAAATTTTTAAAAACGTGAATGAGAATATATAAGATTGATCAGAACTAATAGCCGTACGCTTCGTACCAAATTTGACGGACGTTCACTCGTTTACTAGCCGTACTCGAAGGAAAAATGTTGCAGAGTTCTTCTAAAAAACCTTCGAAAATGTTCTAAGCCACAATTCCAATTTTTTTCCCCACACAGTACTGATTTGAAATTTATCCCAAAAACCAATGGCAAAAAATTTGATCAAACTATAAACGACGCGGTCGGCTTACTCGTTCAACGCATGTAGACTACAAATTTTTTTTTTTACGAGTACACCGATACGACGACGACGGCACTACGATGAAAACACGGTTTATTATTTATTTTAATAATTTTTCAATGCACTTACCTTTGATCGGTCGATACATGACGACGACCGGTCGTTGCGTTGACGCTGACGTAGGTCGGAGCGGACTGCGGCCCGGCGACGATCGGCGACTTGCGTGCACGGCGTCCGGACGGCTATTGAGACCAGGATAAACGGTAGTGTGCTGCAAAGGCAACGCAAAGGCGCTGATGAGAAAAACAGGCGGCCAGGGAGGCGGAGTGAGGGAGGGCAAAAAACGTCGGGACGGGTTCGAAGGGACGGCGGCAAAACGCGGGAATCCGACCCGAATCTGACGTCGGTCGCGGGTTGAGTGCGACGGCGGAGTAGAAATTCTGGAACGCGACTTACAACTCGGGTACTACGCACTTACAATCAATTATTCCGCCCGCCCGCCGTCCGGCCCTCTTCCCGCGCGCGAGAATCGCGGTCGGACGAAAGGCCGGGACCTGCGAAGGGCCGTTGTCAGGGAAATGATAACGGGCGGCGGGACGATAACAGGGGGTCGAAGGGACGGGACGACCGCGGCGGCGGGGCGGCCGTGGAGGCGGTGCGGTGCGGTGGCGTCGTTGTTGTTGTTGTTGTTGGAGGTAGTTTTTTGGATTATCAAACAAAGTATAAAATATGTATAGGTATAGGTACACTGTTCCTTTACAACATTGCCTACCCTAACTGCAACAACGTTCTTATTATATCCAATATAATGTTATTATAAGACAAAATACTCGGAAGACATAAAACGATGCACATAATATTATATACTATAATAATATACTTACGGCGTAATACCGAGACGCGGGACTTCTAATATTGTTACTAAAGTACGACGAAAAATAAACTCAAAGAAAAGAAAAACAAAAAATACCCTAAGGCAAGAGGTAGGTACAACAAGAATCTGCGAGTCGCACGTTTTGCCTTAACGGTGGTCGAGACGGTAATAAAATAAAATGTGCTGCGTTTTGCTGCGATGCGAGGTGTACCAACACCAATTTATTTCCAACAATATGCACCCATTAAGATGTCGTACATTGACACTGCACTCGAAGATTACCGTTTTGTCGCTTTATTAAAAAATATTGAATTTAATTCGTTTCGTTTCGGCCAATCGCCGTGCGGATTACAGGCAGCCACGCTCAATTGGGTTTGATTGAATTTAATTTGGTCAATCACACACCGTAGACTGCTATTATTACCTACCAACGGTTGTCAGCACCGTACCGTATTATAATAGTGTTACACACATGTGGGATCCAATTTAAAAACGACACATCTAAACGAGATCATCAAGTCGTCATAGTTCAGATAAACGTAACAGCTTTATGCGCAGACTATAGGCTGTATAATATATGCCTTACAAATATTAGGGTTCACTATATTGTCTATTTAGAACTAAAATTGTTTACCCAACTCGTGTTGATCGCTTCATTTAGGTAACATGACATATTTTTCAACTGGTGATTTACAATGTATTTATTATGTTACTTGAAAGATTTGATCGACGTTTGATTTTAAAAATATATTATCGAACATGTTGAATAGGTACCTAGTTGGTAATTATAAATTGGGCGAATATCAATACAAAAATGTGTTTCTCATATAAATTTGTTTACACTATATATTGTAGAAATGTTATTGCGAAAAATTGTACTTTATTTGCAATGGGTAGGTAAACATTTATGTCTAAAAAGTTATAGCCTATAATACCTACTACAATACCACAATACAAATTTCTTTGCTATTTGGGAATGAACTAAAACTGTTTTCAAACTAAATGATTGCTTTACAAGTTATTAGAAATTATGTTTTCTTGATATGGGAAAAAAAAAATCATCATCGTCAAATCAGGACATCCCGGTCATAATTATCTATTTTAGCATAAACAATATTTTTCCTATAAAAAATTATCCACGCTATACCTACCTACTTTAACGTTTCGATAATAAGTAAAAATAAATTCAAATTTGCTTAAGGAATCCAGCCCAAGAAAATAGCGTTAACCATTTTTTTATCGCTAAAAAAGTTGGAAGCTATTTTAGGAAGCGCACTTTTTGAAATTAAAGTTTGAAATTTAGGCTAAAGCACCTACCTACAGTTTCGGTTTTTTTGGTCAACACGAAAAAAAAAATAATAAGACAAACATGTGCAATTAAAAAACACAATATTACCTAATTTGTGTTTTTTAATTGGTATTAAATATTATTATTATACTGATTTGCTAAATGTTGTTGTAAGCATGTATCATTTAAAAATAGTTTGTGATTGAAAATTACATTTAAAAGAGTAATCAATTAACAACTACATAAATTAGTAATGTAATTCAAATGTTGCCAACTGAGTAAAAGAAAAAAAAAGGCTAAGCCTTGCATAAGTTGGTACTTGCTTAAATTCAAAACAGAATATGGTAGGTAATTATAATGATAACGATAAGACATTTTCCAAAATTGGTTGAGTTAGCTTCAAAAATTTAAAAAAAAACACACACAAAGGGTAAGTACTCAAAGTAGACTACTCGTGGTTTTTTTTTTATAATTTTTATTCAACTTAACAGATGTACGCCTGTATTATGATTTTAACAGAAATACTTTTCATATTATATTATTTTATTATTATTTTGTTTTCAATATACTAACACTAGTACTATACACTATTTTGTGCATGATATTACAAAGTTTTTTTTTTAGATAGGTGTTTATTCAACTTAAATTGAACGACTCCATATAGTTTAGAGCAAAATTCCCGGGCGTACAACCTTCGCGAATACTTAACGTATGTACTGTACTGTTACTTAAATGGTATTTGTCGCTTAATTGCCTCTTTTTGTTGTACTTGTTAACGTCCAATTGACGTCGCCGGTCACACCCAAACCCTAGTGGACATTTTATGGAATATTTCCAACACAACAACACTTTAATAACTGTGAAAATGTCCAGTAATTTTGTCTATAAAATAATCGGTTTTGCCAAAAAAAAAAAAAAAAAAATACCTATAATTTTCACTGGTCGACCTAGCCAGTTTTGAATAACTATTTTTGTAAGTTATTGAAGTTTCAAGTTTAGGGCAGGAGAAAAAGTGTGGAGTAAAGTACATATTATTTTTATTTGTATACGATATACATATTATTTTGTGTTTACATTCATAATGATTGTAAATGGTCAAGAGTAGTTTTTTTTATATTTCTACTACTAATAAATACAATAATATTAATTATTGTTGGGAAAAATGGGATCAACGACCTTATCCATCCAGTTCCCCCCTTCACAGTCTACCTAATATGACTTGTGGGTTGACGATTGTTATTATTTAATAGTATTAATATTAATAATATGAATCTAATATTTTGAGGGGGACTTGGTTGAATTTTAAGTGAGTCTAAGTCCCCCAAGCCCCTTTTGTTTTCACCAATGTTTAACTCTATAATATCTAGATTAGAATATTACAATAGGTAATAAGAATGATTATATTCTATTTTATTTGGGTAGTTAAAAAATATTCCTGAATCACCGTGAATGCTATAAAAAGAAATGTTTACATAATTATTAATGATACAGTTGTAGTATAAAAAATGATAACATATCATACATTGGTCATTCGACATTGTACTTAGTGCCTACTAAACAAATACCCAAACCGATGAATAATAATCTACTATTTTAGTTTGTCAAATCTTGGTGTTTTTATATCATTGGAACTACTGTTTCGTACAATGAACAGCTATATTTTACCGAAAACTACAGATAAGCTATCAATAATAATAATAATAATTGGTAATTGGTCACTTTACTTTGATCTTAGTTATTCACTACTGTAAAAGAGAAACAATAAAAATTGGCCTCCCAGCTCGAAAACGACACAAAAAAACGTTTCTCTCATTAATATATACTATTAGGTATATTCTTAAAATGTATGTTATTGACAAACATAAAATTATTAATAATATTTGTACATTTTAGTCAGCGAACCAATTGTTACTTAAACTTTTTTGTGTTACTAAAATATCATTTTAATCACTGTTTATTACGGAAATCACACTATTTACAAAAAATTACCTAACTAAACATATATTGTGGAAAAAACAGATAATATTAATTTTTAGTTAAACGATTGACGTTATTCTACATATTTCAGGTAATCGTATAGCCTACATCTAATATGGTGTTATTTATGAATATTGTGCTCTCCTGTTAGTTATAATAATTAGTCGTGGACAATCTTAACCGCTTAAAATATCTTATATACTCTATTTTGATCATTTACACACCCGTTGACTATAATAATTTGTCCTTAGTAAACAAAAAAAAAAAAAAGATTAAAACACAATCAATTTTCAGTAAAACTACAAGTTTATTTAAAAAAAAACCATTATTTGTTACCTACACATAATGCTACTTAGTCATCTACCTTTAATGTGTTATACATCAATGGTAACTAAATAATATTGTGTGTAGATAACAAATAATGATTTTTACAATGAAAAAATTCAGCTTATTGTAAAAATCATTATTTGTTATCTAAACATAATGCTATTTAGTTTCCTTTTATGAATGAAACATTAAGGTAACTAAATAGTGTTACAAACGAATTAGTACTTTTCAAATGTTTTGAAACGATGTGTTGAGCTAGAAAATACAAAAGATAACAAGCATAATTAAACTTATTTTCTTTTTAAGAAATTTCTCAAAAACAATTTTTCTTAATTAACACAAATAAACATAGTACTTGTATACATAGTTCAATGAATAAAACCTACACTACGTAAATCATAAAATACTATTTAAAGTTGTTTTATTGGTTTTTTTTTTCTCGATAGGTCTATGTATACTTTATGAAACAATAATATAAAATTAGCTCCACGTGTAGGATCTTTAAAGATACACACTATAATATTAAAAAAAACCGTTTATAAAAAAAAAAAAAACCGTCAAAAAATTATTTCTACTGGTTTTAATGAGTAATACAAATAGCCATGGTTTGGATTTAACAAACCAAAACCGCATACTTAGAATTCATGGCGATGGAACAGTGTGAGAAACAACTTTGCCGTTAATAATATTGTATTTGCTTCGAATGACTTCCCCTGCCGTACCTATGCCTATTTATATCAAATATAGGTTATATATATATATATAGAAACAAGATGACCGCAGTAACCTGTCGATAAATACATACATTATAATTAACGTTTAAATGTACAACACAAAAGAATCGATAAAACTACCGGCTTAATGTAAAGCACAACGGTTTTAGCATTGATAGCAAAACCAATCGAAGAGGATAATAATTAATCAATGCACGTCACATTTGGTCATGTCAGTAATATGTGTTAATTTAGATTGTACAAATTTATTCATCAATTATAATCATTAAGAAGTAAGCATTTATTATTTTTTTTTTCATCGAGGGAGGACATTGAGAACGAAACAAGGTCATGCGCGTTATTCTTCAAAGTGTACCTAACACTTTTAATCAAACAATTTTGTATTTATAAATTACACTTTGAATTCTGCATAAACTGTGCTGTATCGCCTTAGATCCAAGGTTTTTACAGCCCATTGGCACCGAGGAAAGGATCAATTGAAAAACGGGAAGTAATAAAAAAACGTTATTTATTCATTCTCAAAAGACATGGTCTTAAACATCTTTGCCAGAGTTCAACGAGAAAATCTCAAAATTAATGTCACAATTTCAAAACATTGGAAAGTAGTAATTATTTTTCTAATAGTATTTAGTAGGTATTGTATTACACACACATTTTTTAAAAATTTTATAACTAATAAAACGCCAAAATCTTCTTTGAGCTCTTATACTGGGCGAACTAGAGAACAGAAAAGATGTCGTCTTGAGCTAGAAAATACAAAAAGAAAACAAACAGTAAGTATAATTTTAACATGACCCATCATGAGATATCATCTGATCTCATTAGATACGAGAACGACTCGACATTACCACATCAATCTAAAATTAAAAATAGTGTATTTTGAAAATGGTAAAAAAAAGTTATAAGAACTAACTAACTATTTAATAATAATTATTATTTCTATCATAAAAAAACAAAAAGCACACTGTTTTCATAATATATGGCTATAAATATTTCATTATATTTTATTAATAACCTTTTTACGGCAGACAAAACCGAATTATGTATGAAAAATACAAATATCTACAAAATTGATTAAAACAATATGTTATACACTATATTAACAAATTATTTACGACCATTAATTAACTTAAAAGTTAAACCCAATTAATTATTGCTTAGTTGCGTTCGTAACAATTAAGTTATTCCTTATTCAAAAAGTTAATTAAACGATGCCGTTTTCAAGTTTCAAAAGTTGTTAGCGCATTACAGTACCCTTTTTTTTTTTTTTATAACTGTATCCAAAAAGGTACAATGCCCTAATATTAACATAATAAAACATTTTTAAAATTAATAAAAAAGAATAGATATATTTTAATTTTTTGTTCCAACAGGTATTTATTATTTTAACGCGGTAAATAAAATATTAATTTTTTTTTAAATATGCAAACGCATTTTAAACTTATTTTCTTTTTAAGAAATTTCCCAAAAACAATTTTTCTTAGTTAACGCAAACAAACATAAAATAGTAAGATACAAAATATATCAAAATATTAGCTCCACGCATCTTTAAAGACACACATTATAATATGAAACAACGGTTTATAAAAAAAAAAATAAGGTCAAAAAACGATTTCTACGGGTGTTAATAATTATTAGTATTAAAAAAAAAACCATGGTTTGGATTTTTTTTATTTTCGTCAAGTTTTCGTTGTAAAACTGAGATTTTACAACAAAAACAAAAATCGCTTATACCGAACCCGATACTAAATTCTTTAGTAATTTTTTTTTTTTTTTTAATTTAAGCGTAAAATATGTTAATCAAACCCAAAATAAATAAAATCGTAGCGCCGTTTTTTTTTTTTTTTAGAGAAACACAGGAATAAATAGGGGTTGTTTTTTTTTTTTTTTGGATTACTTACCGGTTTTTTTCAACGGACCTGTATCTGATCGGCGCGACCGTTGGGGGGGTACGATGGCGGTAACGGTGGATTTTTCAAAGGCGTGCCATAACACCGACAATAATCATTGTTGCCGGGTTCGCATTCCCCTTGGATATTCTCTACCACGTCACCGTACTGGCTTTGGCACTGAACGCTACACGCATAGTCGTTGCACCGTACACCGTTCACGCCGTTGAAGGGCAATGTCAAAATCACAAGACAAACGAAAACCGCGTACTTAGAAGAACTCATGGCGACGGGGAACGGCGTGCGAGGAGAAACTCCACAAGCCAATAAGCAATAATACCGTGTTTGCTCGTGCCCGAGTCGCGGATATCACATATTTTAATAGAACAGAAGCAATTGACCGCAGTGACCTGGCAAAACGGGCATAAACAGTATGGTTTATCTGTCAGTCGGAGTGCTGACGAAAACATATTATTATAATTAACAACGATTACGATTGTAGTGTAATTTTTTTAACACGACACTTCACACTTGACACGAGAATGACATAACCACACCGATCCAAAATTAAAAATATTTCTATATCAACTGAAAACAATTATTGCGATTGCGTTGTAAATTATGAGTACAGTTAATTCGGCGACACTTATGGATTGGGTACGATGTACACAATCGAGTGATATAATTAAAAATATTAAAAAACTCCCTTCGCCGCGAATATAGCTTGGAAACTGTTGATAACTTATCGGTTTGTTCGTTTTGAGGGCAATGGATTTTTTTCTGAAGCAGATATTATTTTTCCTCCATCAATATCTCCACAAGATGATACAACTGATTTAAGCAATAGTTCATTTTGCTTTTTTTTTTTTAGCGTCACTGTAGGTAGGTACTTATAAAAATTGGTTGAATAATTAAATGAGAAATAAATTCTCTAAAAACGAAAAACTCAATATTTACATAAGGATTGACTTGACCATTCCTTGCTAACATCTTTTTTCGATTAACCTACTGGTTGATTTTTTTTTTTTTTTTTGCAGTCTGGGCACTTGTTTCTATTAAGAAACCAAGAATTGATTAAATATTAACTAATACAACCAACGACAGCTATGTCAGCAATGCTTGTGTGAATGTGTGAACTGCAATTTTTTTTTTTGCTGATTAAATAATCTTAACAGAATATGATAAATCAAGATGTTGACAAACTTAGAAAAAAATTGTTTTAACTTAATCCATATCGTTTCAATAATTGGCGATAAAAATTAATAAATTCCAATTAATAATTCTCAATCAGGTAAAATCTTTCATTGACATTAAAACAATCGAGTAAAGAAATGGGTAATCATTTCAATAAAAAATACTATGCCATACTACACTTACTATTATTTGTATCAAAACTTAAAAGAGTCTGAAAAGAACACTACTAATAGTGATTAATTCATATAATTATAATTTATATTTATTTTTAACAAGCCATAATATCATAATTTTGTATCCACGATTAAGCTCATGATAGTTATAATAAGTAACTGTTTTTTTTTTTAACATAATTTTTTTATAAAATTTCAAACAAGTATTATACTACTAAAATATGTCTAACTTTTTGGGTTTAAGTGAATAGGTATTTCATAATATTTGAAGAAGTCATATTGTAGTAAAACATGTTTGTGAGTATTTAAGTTTTTAGTTTCAAACGCATAGCTAAAGAACTCTGTAAAATATTATCTTAGTTATTACTTATAAACTTCAAATAGATTTTTCTCAAAACTGTAAATTTTGAGTTGTGGTAGTGTTGTTCTAGAGGTGCGATATATGAAGCAGTCTGGACTTGTGTATTTAAAACACAAAAATAGAAAAAACAGTTTATTCTAAATTTGGCCATCTCCGGTCTTAAGGTATAGCTAAAACTTTGAGAAGTCAGTATTGCGATATTATCCTAGGTGGCTATGAAGTTCATAACGTGTAAAGGAAAACCAATAAATGCATTTGTAAAATATAAAAAAGTCATGAGGAATTATTTGTAATAATCACAAAAATAGATTACAAAAACAAAAATAATAATAAAAAAAAAAAATGTAAAAAAAAAAATAAGAGATAAAATTCTTGTTGGCGCACACAACGGTTTTTCGAGAGGTTGCATCACTGGTTTGGTTTTTTAAAACCTATCAGAGTTTCGGGTGGTTTGTTCGGTTTGTCGATGACGCGACGTTTTCGCGCCAAGCCCACAGGCCGTTTGGTCGGCCTGGTGCTCTTTTCGGACAAGTTGCTCGCGTCCAAAGTGTCGGTCGGGTTCTTTTTCTTATTGGGTTTATTGCTCTTGCCGAACAACCCTTTGAATATGGACGGCCGCTTGGCCTGTCTCCTGGACGACGCCCGGGACGCCGCCACCGACGCCCGGGACGTCCGGGAAACCGCCACCGACGTCTGATCGGTGTTGCTGAACACGCTGCGCGGCGGAGGATAATCCAACGAGTACACCGAGGGCGAGGCGGCCCGCGACCCGACGTTCTTGTTCGTAACAGCAACCACCGCGGGCCTGACGTTTTTGTTAGTCGCGACGACCGGCCCGGCGTTTCTACTCGTCGCGGCGCCGTCGAAGGCCAACGGGACGACGTGCTTGGGACCGAACTGGTCGTGGCGGCGGGCCGCGTCGACGGCCACGTCGGCGTCCGGCCGGCCACGCGACCCCTGGTCGGCGGCCAGCAGATGGGTCATCGCGTAGTCGTCGAACTCCTCCGCCGGCGAAATGGCCGGATCCACGTCGGACGCGGCCACGTTCGAGTCGCGGTTGGTCAGCCCGGTGCAATTGTCGTACAGTCCCGCGGCCAACGCCCTGTCGTTCATCGACCACAAGTCGTTGACGTTGTTGTCCGCCATCGACTTGGTCAGCTTCAGCTCGCGGTCGGCTTTCTCGTGGCTGGCGAACATCAGTCGGTCGGCTTGCTCGTGACCGGCGAACATCAGTTTCTCCACTATATCCTTGTACATGCAACAGTCTGGCCGGCCACCGTTGTTGCACGAGTCGAAGTAGTCGATCAACGCGGACCGGTACTCCTCGCAATCCGGCGAGGAACACTGGCAGTTCCTCAGCGTCACCCGGCCGTTGTCGAACACCGTTCTGGTGGTGACCGCCATCATCTCGGTGACCCGTTTGCTGCTAAGCCGCTGACGGCGTTGGCCGGTTTCGGCGGACTTCTTCTTCTTGACCGCGGCCGGTCGGTCGGCGGCGGCCACCGAGTGATGGCTGCTGGCGGCCGAGCCGTTGGCCGCCATCGATATCCAGATGGTTTCGCGCGCGTCCGGCGTGGCCCGCCTGCGCATCACCACGTTGTACTGGCCGCCGTTGTACGTGCCCAGCTTGATGGCGTTGGGCATGAACCGGATGCGCGGCCGCAGCCGGCACTGGCTGCCGCCGTCGGTCTGTTTGTCCGCGGGCCTGTTTGCCGCGGCGATTTCCTCGGAATCGGCCATTTTGATCGAATCGAAAGGCACTCCTTTGCCCATCAGCTCTTGGGACACGGCGAACGCTCGGTCGGCCGGCAACGCGATCACGTAGTCCAGCTCCAGGCTCGTGTCCAGGCCTTCCAGGATGTTCATGGCAGACACGCGAGTTTTCAGCTTACACGCGCCACGGTTATCTCGAAAGTCGACGAAAATATACAAAACAAACGTCAAGTACAAAGAAAGACGACAACGAAAAAAGCATTAAAAAAGTCAAAAATAGTTTTTACTTACGTCATACATAGTATAGAGAATTCCACAGTTTTTTTTTTAAGTAAAAAATATTACTGAATTTATTTCGGCTGTTCACGTTTATCAACAAACATGTTTTTTTCATATTACCGTTGTCAAGTGTCAGATCACAACGTTATCGACCGTTGTTGGTTGTAGTCAACATATTAATATTATTATGTTAAATATATGTTTTTTTTTATTTCCAACCAATGACTCTGAACGTAAGGATGACTAGGAAAAAAAAGTAATAACCATACATATTCTATGCGACGTTCGAACGTTATATTAAAGTCAGTTAAAAAATCACATCGTAACATTACAACTTAATCGTATACGGGTTTTCAAATGAGAGAACAATTTTTTTTGTTTACAAACTCAAAAAAAGTATGCTTAACCGAACGGAATTCATATTAGATATATATTATAATAAACATAGATCTCAACACTTCAATAGGACTTATATAGCAATACAAAAATGTACAACGTTAGCGACCGATACGATGGGTCGGAAACACAATATATAATAGTTATATAACATAAATAGTAATGATAATAATAATACAATTTTTTTTTTCTAGACAATTTTATTTTAAATGCACAATAATGTCGCCGAGTGGGTATTTACAAGATGATAATAATAATTACACGTACATTCGTTAAAAAATACAAAATATAATATAATATTAATATAAATAAAGGAAATATACAAGGAATTTTTTAGTAACTTAAAAAAATGATGATTTTCAAAGTCAACAACGACATGGGTTACGAAGAGTTGGCCATTCCGCCGGCACCGTCGCCGCCGCCGGTGTCGTTGTTGTTGTTGTTGTTGTTGTTGCGCATTATTTCCAATTTGTGTTCCCTGGCCTTGAGCCGGAGTTCGGCGATGCTGGACGACCGGCGGACGATGATGTCGTCCCGGGGGCCGCCCGCGGACGACGACGACGAAGACGCCGACGACGAGGAAGCGGACCCCGTGGGACTCGGCGGCGGCATGGCCGCGGCGTTGGCCATCATTGCGGCGGGATGGTGCGCGGCGGCGGCGGGACGCATGGCGGCCGCCGCGGCCATGGCCATGTTGGCCAGCAGATTGTTGAAGTGGTGCTGGTGGTGATGGGGCGACGACGCGACGGCCTGCAGCCCGTGGACCGCCGACGGGGACGGTTGCTGCGACTGCGGCGGGCGCGCGGCCGACGGGTCGGGACGGCGGCCGTAAGCTGCGGCCGCGGCCGCGGCCACCGCGTAGTGCGGGGACAGGAACAAAGGCGGCGGCGGCGGTGGCGGCGACGCGGACGACGTGGCCACCGACGGGTGGAATCGCAGGAACCCGTTCTCGATGGTGGTGGGCGGCGGTCTGTGCATGCCGCTCATGTGCCCGAACGGCATCGGCGACGGGTTTATGGCCGTGCCCGACATCGGGCCCACGCAATAAGGGTTGTTGTTGTACGGATGGGCCTGCGGTCCGACTTTCTCCTGCTTACGCCACTTGGCCCGTCTGTTTTGGAACCATACCTGCAAAAAACATCGAACACACAGTGTTAGAAATCTATTGAAAATAATTTTCTTATAATTTATTACTGTCGTTTAACTAAATTAAGTTAAATTTGTATTATTTTTAAAAGTTAATTGAAAACAAATTAACTTGAGTTGTGCCTCAGTTAAAAGGTTATTTCAAATTGTATCTTATAAAATCAACAGTTTTATTACTTATGTATGCTATATATTACAATCGTATAAAAAATGTACCTATTTGGAATTAAACTTGATAATTATAAATATATGCTTCAAAGTACCTAACTTAGATTGGCGAATTCATGTAACATAATGAGCCAGTGTCCCCAATATTAGATACAACAATTTAAAGCAGTCGATAAAGGATCCTATTATGTTTAATTACGGTAAATCATTTAATAATCTGTTAATTTTTTAAATTATACAACTTATTCTCTAATCTCGTGGATCTTGTACGCCCGGGCTTAGAGGAACAACTGATTGCTGTATTAATTTATGTACAATATGGTGTATACCAAAACTGTTTAAGATGGAAATTTAGATGTTTTCCCGAGGACCTACGGGTAGGCAACCAAACTAGCTTCGTCAAACGTCATAAAGCCTAACGCCACGGAACTCTGGATGCACTCCACTGAACATCTTAAATTATATTATAATGCTTATATTTAGACAGCGGATTTTTAGCATAATATGTATTTACATATTTATTGGCTTTATGCAGTTCAACGCAAGTGAAAAATGTGAAAAATCGAAAACACATTATTTTGCATATTTTTAGGTTTCAGCATTTTCCAAGCATATATTTTACCGGTTATTCTATTGTAATGTATCATGTATAGTCGCAACTAATATAGAATATTTTATTATTGAACATGGTTAGCACGGTATTTTGGACGTTATTCCAACCTAAAAATCCGCTCTCTACTTGTGAGTTTAAAATACACATTGCGGTTACACCTATATATAAAACGAGGAGGCTTATGGAGCGTTTTAGGCGAGCCATTTGGACATACTCGAGTGATATTCTGTCTGAAAAAAATAGCATCAAGCGTTTTTTTTCCCCCAATTGTAAAAAAAAACCGTAGCAGTTGACAAAACGACTGTAGGTATATATATATATATGTTATAAATAAAATATAGCGCGTTGCACGGCGGTATATAAATAATTTACAAGATAATTCAGAAATGGAGTAGTAGGTATTTGTCGTTGGGGATTTTAAGGACAGGCACAAAATATTACAGAGTTTTCTCATTGTGCCGAAATTGTCCCAAATACTTTGCACGTCTGCTGCTGCGGTTTAATATCCTTAAAAGGTTGCGCAAAAAGAGGGTTAAATAAAAATAACATCGCCATGAGACATATTTTGGCGTCACAGCCTTTGTTTACACAACCAAGACATAATAGTGCGTTTCGTTTGACGTTTTGACGTTTTCGGAAAACGTCACTGGGTACTTTTTGCGTGCACTCACTTAAGTATATTATGTAAGTTATTGAGAGGACATATCGTGGACCGGCGAAGACGTTCTACCGTAACGACTAAACATGATATAATCACTAATTATCGTAGGTAAACACTGAACCTACACCGAACAACGAGATTGTACATTTATTATTTATGTAAAACTCCTCGACGAGCCGATGGCTTAATTAGTCGAATGAATAATTTATACCGAGCCGAGCACAATTATTATCCGGTTGGCCGGCTAACGTTGTGTGTAACATGTGTTTTTATAAATATTATTATTGTGAAACCATTATTTCACTACCGTTAGGCGGATATATTTTGTAGTTTCAGTCTTTTTAGTAAATTTTCAAAATGCCCACTGCAACGAGCCGGCTGTCGAACCACAGCTTTAAAACAGCGTTGGCGGGCTTTTGTTTTTTGAGTTCTGTGTGTCTAATATTATTATAGCATGTGAAATTCGTAGAGTGTATTCTATTGTAGTTGCTGTTAAGACACGGGGCAAATGATTTACGGCTGGTATACCCAAAGAGTATAATATCCTATATATTTCTTGTTAGGTACCACTCACATAAATTATTATATTATTATTGTTATTATTATTATTGTGAGTTACACACACACACCGCGACCCCGCGGGGTTATTTATTATGTATATTTTATTTACATCTGCCAAGACGGTTATTTCACTATAAACAAACAATCATAATAATCATTGTGTTCATCCGTTTTGGTACGACTTACAATTGGTACTGTCTACAGTCCGCCAAATAATTATCGTCGCAAATCGTTTTTTTTTTTTTATGATGGAAAATTAAGTAAATTTTTGTTTATAACATTGTAATTGTTCAATAATTTTATTGCGTGTCTAAGCTGACTGTTTTTTAATAATATTTCCATTTAGAAATATCTTAAAATTCAATAATTAGGTTTTTTTTTTTAACTAAATTTGCAAGTAAAAATATATAATTACAATAATAATAACCAAAATACAATTATTTACAAATGATTTGCTATGAGAAACGAAATCGACTGATTGAAATTACTTTTCGTACTGCAGCGGAATTTCCACTCAAATTAGGTGCAAAAATATAGATATAGTTTTTTCTTAAACAAATAACTTCTAAAATTACGAAAACCGTTTGGTTCTGTATTTTTCAGTATACGGTATTACACTTAAAAACGTTTATAAAATACACATATGTAATTAATAGAAATTTTATAGACAGAAAATTCTGATTTTAATTATAATAAAATATAGCATAATATACATATTATGCTTAGAATTTGAAGAATGCGTTCATAATTACACTTGTTATTTATTTTGTTCTTTTAAAACGTATTATAGGAACTATTATTGTAGTAGATCCACATTTACTGTTCAGTTTGAATATTACAAATATTTATAACCTATAATTTTCGAATTGAATGAAAACAAAATCAGAGGCCTATTCAAAAAACTGTAAAATGTCTCCTTCCTTTCAAACATCAAAACACGATGCGTGGTTTTTTTTCTAATAAAAGGTTTTACCACCAAAATGGCTTAAGAATGTATGTAAAAACGTATACAGAATATTAACGTGGTAACAAGAAGTAAACAAAATTATATTTTTATAATATATACAAGGTACATATACAATTCTTCCCCTTAATAAAATCTGTGTATATATTATTATTACAAAAACGAAAGCCTATCTAAATATATGAGGAGTGAGCGCAAATATTTGGAAAAGCACTAACAATTAGGTACTAATAAGACACACACACACACACACGACCGCATAAAACTAACACACAATACTTGTAATTGAAATATTACTATGATGTAATATAATATCCCACACGAATAGAAGTAAAAATTAACAAGAAGACTATACTATAATTTGTGTCTGTTCAAGTCGCTTAATTGAAACGGTTAACGTCGAAAGGTTTACCGGCGATTATTCGATTTTGATTTCGTTTTGGCTAGCTTAAGACCCAGCACGACATTATGATATGTTCTTTGATATTGAACCGCCGACGCCGTTGGATATTATAATATAATAAATATTATGTGATGGTCGATTATCGTTGTTGTGCCGGTGTACGATAATCATATTTATCCCGGCCCCGGTTAATGATCTATTGATATATAAATATTATTTAAATATTATTATGTCGGCCAGGACTGGTTATATTGTTAATTCGATAATGGGCAGGGCGCCACGGGTCACAGGTGGAAGAGCTGAGCTTATGTCTAAGGTACCTGGGAGATGTTGTACCTTAGGTAAACACCGGATGATAAATGCGCCGATATGTTGGCAGCCAATTAGCGGATGAAACAAATAACAGAAATGATATTCGGTTCGTTTTGTATGTACACCACCGCCGCCGACGCCATATTATAAGAATGATGAATATTATGAATGTGGAGAATCGTTCAATAAATTATACTTGCCGGCACACGAGAGGGAAATATAATAAATTTCATTAAAAAAAATAATAATAATAATTCCACACTTTGTTATTATTGTTTTAATTGTTTTTTGTTATTTATCTAATGTGTCCAGCGGTCCGGAATCTTATTTTATTACCCTTCTCCCATTTGGAAATCTTATGGAAAATCCAATGCCACTCCCGAACCGAACTAAACCCGTACTTGGTATTGGATGAATTTTGTACACTCACCCTGTACCTACATTGAATTGTGATGTAGCTTTAGTGGTTGAGACACTGAGAGTACAAAAGGGTAAGAGATGTGCAGAGTGGATTAATCCAAGTATCTTTGTAGGAATCGAAGGTGTGATTTAAGGCGATTTGTAAGACTGTAAAATTTTTCAAAGTGTGTAGAAACAAAAATCGGTCCTACCTGTATCCGTGCTTCGGTAAGTCCGATTTTGGACGCTAGTTCTTCTCTGTAAAACAAAACAAAATAAAATCCGGTGAAAAAGTGAGGACTGTTGCGAGGATAATCAAAATGCGTTAATTAGTAATAAATTCAGGTAGTATGTCAGGCCTGTGTGAACCCTATTATTTGGGAACAGTAGGGGCCACACCTCCCAAAGACGACCGGACGTTGCTGATATAAGATTAATAGTTACACCCAAGTACAGGGTGTCCCAAAAAGAATGGTGGCGTTTCAAACGGCTGTAGGTTGTGAAGTATTGGACCTACAGCAGTCGTTCGATACTTGACAACACCCTCTTTCGTTCAAGCCCTACCAGAGCGCTGTAGGTCGAATATTTCACGACCTACAGCCGTTTGAAACCCCGCCATTATTTTTTTGGGACACTCGAGTATTTTCCATCATCGTACCTGGTGAACACGTCTGGATAGTGGGTTCGGCCGAAAGCCTTCTCCAGTTCGTCCAGCTGGAAACTTGTGAACGTGGTCCGGTACCGGCGTTGCTTGCGTTTAGGCGTACCGCTGCCAAAATCGTCCAAGTCTCCAACGGCACAGTCGTCGTCGTCACCGCCGCTGCCGCCGCCGTTCAACGTGCTTGGGGTGCCGGCCTGTTGCCGTCTCTGGTACATGATATCGTCGTACCCTGTAACCGATACAGGGTGTCGCTGGTGTTGCTGCTGCTGCTGCTGATGCTGATGCTGTTGATCACCGCCTCCGCCGCTTTGCATCAAACTGTTGTTTCGCTTGTATTCCGGCGATCCTCGCATGTCGTTCCGGTCTGTTGATAAAAAAAAAAAAAAAAAAAAAATGTATGATTAAAAACCAAGGGATGGTTTGTAAGATCACATTGTTGATTTTGACATCACACAACCCCGATGGCCTTTGAGGCATTAATCGGACATGCCGCATAATGTTTTTCTACTCGCCCCAAACGACAGGACGTGTCGACTACCCTGAATGACTCCAACGGATCGTTATATCTCAACAAATCTCCATAAGCTCTCAATAATTGGTCTTCAGTATGCCGCTAACCTGTTCAGATCACTATTGATCGTTAAACTTTTTGCCCGCTCTAAGTTAACAACTTTGACCTAATTTTCTGTTCTTGCCTCTCGTAGACACCTTGCTTACACTACAGTTCTTTTACCCTCTACTTTTCTCACTACTCCCATCTATTTGTGTCCGTCCGATCTTTTATCTCCACTCATAAGATGGCTATCATCTCGAGTCGTACTCTTGAGGTCATTCCCCCTCCTACCTCTCTTTCAGTCGACGTGAATTTTCATAATTGCCATTTGTTTTTTGCTAATTTGTTTATTATTATTCAATACATTTGTTTTGTTTGGGAACCATCGCTAACAATGACAATATTCATTACAATGTCTGGCCATTAACAATTGAAATTTGATCAAATCTGCGTTGTTTACTAAGTAAACGTTGTCCAAAATGTTGGACGACGATGCCACGTCGCAGAGGATCACCGAAATCCTGCTGGCCCATTTTGGAGATGGCCGAGTGGTCGACGTGGATGTTATAATGAATACAGTACAGTATTTTTTCGGTGTAGAAATCTGGACCAGCGACGGGTTGTTCGAATCGTATCAAAAGTGTTTGCTGAAGCTCACGCGGGCAGGTCGACTCAACATAGACACGCCCGAAGGAGTGGAACGCTGGGCAACGTAAGCAAAATATCTTTCAATGCGGTACATAAAAGTACTCGCACATACACAAATATATATATTTATATATAAACACGAATTGGCTAACCTTATCCCTGCCGTGTTTTTTTCCCTGCTAAACCCTTACTCGATCAAACCAAAGGTACCTAAATATATTATGTGATTGAATTTCGCGAAACCTTTAAGAAAAAATAAGCTTGGTCACGTGTGTTCGGTTTATATTTTTTTTATTTTTCGACCACAGACCGTTGGTGCTTTAGAAAAATAAGACAACAACTAAACTCCTTACGTCGCCATACAGCCTAAATGGATGCGTAATATCAAAACGGAAACAATATTTTCAATTTATTTACTTAAAAAAAACTTATTTTAAAATGTTTTTTTTTTATTACCGCATAAACGATTTTAGTTAAACAATAAATCAACGTTCTACAAGCGAGCAGTTTTTTTCTAAAAACTGATATTATAAAATTAAAGTGTCGACGACTTAGCCAGTATTGGCCACATCAAGTAAATATGTTATGGTCAAAATTAGTAAAAACAAAAATGTCTTTTGGTAATTTTAAACTCATGAATACAATTTATAGGACAAATTGTGTGCAATTTACTGCTTGTGGTTATTATAAGCCACCCACAAAATATGTATTTACGCCTGTTTAACAAATAAATTCTAAGAGTCTTAACATTCTAAAATTTAGTTAAATACGGATTTGTTTTAAAAACACTTTCCATACAAGTGGTCCAACAAATTTTATTTCCACCTTTATACCAAGCGTAACCTTATACAGGATAGGAAAGTTTTATCTGAATCCAGACTGAATGATGTATAAGATAAAAGTTTAGTATTATTAAGATAACTTTAGACAAATATTTTATTCTAATAATACTAAGAATATTGTTTAATTCGTTATTTCGTGATGTGTATTTAAATTTTGAATGACTGAATTTTGAACAATGATCACCCACACGCTTACTACCATTTTAGTGGTGACCATAAAAACCGTGGTAATCAGTAACCACAATGGAAACCAATATATTATTGTACATAATGTACCTATTCAATTAGACCGTCGATTTTTGAACGTCATTTGTAAAGGATATTAAAAGTCATCATGAAAACTAAACGGCATTTCCGAATTTACCGCGTTTTTTTTTTACAATAAGGTTACTATTTCTATTCAATGTGGTATTTCAAAAAATGACCCCATTCCATTTCCATATAACATATTTATTTCTGTCTGCTTATATAGGATTTATGATATTTTTTATTTGAAAAAAACAACCGCCGGTTATAACCGGTACGGTAACACGAAAAACGGACAGTTCAGAAAAATAAACGTTGTTAATTTCCTGTGTTCTCTTAATATCCTTATAGAGCCAACTGCCAAGTGTGCCGTCCTCGCGCCGGAAACTCAATTTCTACACTATTTCCTATTCGATTTCTTCGTTTACCGCCACTTTGTAAGCCAATTTACTATTATTATTATTATTATTATTTTTTCGAGAATTGGGCACCGTCGTCTCCGACACAAGACCAGTTTTCAAACGTGTATAAATTGTATAATTATAATAACAACAATAACATACAATATTATGTATAGGTACCTACATCTCGGTCACCTGCGCGCGGTATAATTCAATTTGCCGTACACGGATAGAAAAAATGGCCGTACCTACGTTTTTATTATTTACAATATTATCGTATTAGTATAGGTATGCGCGACCGTGTACAAAATAATAATAATAATAATTATTATTATAATCGTAAAAAAGTGATTTAGTATTTAAAACGGGTCGGTTCGGTATAATATTATGTAAACACTGAACGGCGTTATAATTGAAAAAAAAACGAGCCGTAACAATAAAATAAAAACAATAATAATAATCGTCTGCCGGCGCAAACAGTGTTGTACCGTTTACGATAGGGTGTTTTTTTTGTCGATGATAAACGATACACTGGAAAACGTCGGGATATAATAATATTGTCATTAGAATAAATCAATACGGCTTGTGTACATAATAATTTACGATGCGAAACACATTGTATACAATATTATACTCACCTTAACCGACAATATATTTTCCGATGATAATATGATATTATATATGTCCATCAATGTATGCATAAACGCGCCATGTTAAATGTTCTACGCGAAACTGTTGTATCCCGCAGACACACTTAAAATGTTTACTTTATAAACGTCTTAACGAGACGTACACGACTAGTAATAATAACAACAACAAAAGGAAAATTAATGGAACATACAAATAAAAATATCATTAACATTATAATTTATACTGTTATTATTATTATGGTTAGGTACATTGTCCGGTAATCGCTTTGGCGCACCGCAGTGTACCCACTACCGCGGTTATGGTATGTGCGATTCATTTTGGTTTTAACCGCGCGGTTAACGCAATTATTAAAATTATTAGTAGGTATTGTTGATGTAATGTCGACGACAAACAAAAAATCAATTGTTACACCGGTTTTTTTTCGCATTACTATAATTATTAACAAAGTTTATATATATATTTTTTTAATAATTACACACGCAAATTGCCTTCAGCATTGTTTGGTCCTTTCTTTCATCAACATTGTACACGCTAAGAAAACAAAAAGCATCAGCAAGGACCCGACTCCGATTTGAAAATTTAATATTTCGGATCATCCCTTATTTTTGACAACAAGTCAAAACGGAATTTATAGGATACATAGCAGTTGGTATATCTATAGATATAACATTATACAAATACAATAGACTCAGGAAAATAACTACATAGAAATACAAATATGACCTGAACATTTTCGAGTAAAAATGTATTTGAAAAATTTCTTGAAAGGATTTTATCATTAATACAATTACCAAAAACAAAGTAAAATGCTCAAGAAGGGAAGGATAATTAAAACGTCTATCTACGGGTAAGTAAAAAAGTTAGAAGACTATATGTGATTTAACTTAGGTGCGGAGCCGAGAAGAAGGTACCTATAGTATTTTTATTAGTATATATTTTACTAAAATGTGGTTAAGTGGGATGATTATAAATCAGTGAAGTTAATTGTCCTGAATACAATTTCTCAATTTTTGGAAATAACCAAAAATAATCGTGTTACGTTGAATTGTTTAATATATTAAAGTCTTTACATCGAAAGCTCACAGTTAAACTTTTTATTAAAAAACACCTATAGGTTGGCTCGATTTGTTCATATTTACCATACTCGACCTATTAACTAGTACCTAACTCAATTTGTTTTTTCTTGTTAATCAGATTTTAAAATAATGTTTGGCGCCCATAATAATAATTTTGTTTTGCAATTAAGTAGGTACACGTGCCGGCACATAAAATCAGTACTGTTTCAAATATGTGGGTTTTACTTCGTTTTTTTTTTTATGATATGGTGATGAGAGAGACACACACTAATTAATTAAGTACCTACTCCGCCACCGATGCCGTAGGTGGCGTACACAGGGCGGCGCCTGTTTTATCAACTTGAAATCCAAAATACTAAAAGCATTTCACTGTCTTTGAAAATATCCGCTGTTATCAGTAGCCGGCCCTAACCCAGACGTATTATGTCTATACCTACTTACCTACCTACCACCGTCAAGAATAATAACTGTATATTATACTATAATATTAGACTGGCTTTGATAATAAATAATAATAATAATGCGTACATAATAGGTGCCGATATCGGTCATGCCTATAACCCGTACCTATATAAATGATTATTATCATATTACATCCAATTTGGTACACCACTATAGGTATATAAATAGCCATTATGAGTATCGGATAGCAATAATAATTATAATGTATACGTGTACATTTACTATATAGAATAAAAAACCATCTCGAGGAAATAATATATAGGTAACATGCAGAACGTGTGGGGTTTAAAGCGAATTTTGATTAGGAGTCATGCCCGCCGGCACGATGGAAATTCGAATTTCAATAAACTAGAACATCATGAATATCATCACTATAATATAATATTATACTTTCATGAGATAAACGATTTTCTAATCGATATCCAGATCCTTGCTTTAAGTAGGTATAGGCACTAAAATATACATAGGTAATTTGCCCACAACAG